TGAAGTCTGATACATGCTGCAGGGTGGATGAACCTTGGAGACATTATGTTAAATGAATAAGCCAGATGCAAAAGGACAAACGTTGTATAATTTCCCTTTTATAAGTTGGCTGAAATAGACACATTCATTAGAGACCAAAAATAGAATAGAGGTTACCAGGGGCTGGGCTAAGGGCCGGTGGGGACTCATGTTTAATGAATGCAAAGTTTTTGTTTGGTATAATGAAAAAGTTTTGGAAATAGTGGTGATGTTTGCACGACATTTGTAAGTGAAATTAATGCCACCGATCTGTGCTCTTAAAAAATGTTTAAGCCCTGGCTGGTGTAGCTCAGTGGATTGAGCGCAGGCGGTGAACCAAGTGGTCACCGGTTCAATTCCCAGTCAGGGCACACGCCTGGGTCACAGGCCAGATCCCCAGTAGGGGACACATGAGAGGCAACCACACGTTGATGTTTCTCTCCCTCTCTTTCACCCTCCCTTTCTTCTCTCTAAAAATAAATAAATATATAAAATCTTTTTAAAAATGTTTAAAATGGCCCTGGCTGGTGTGGCTCAGTGGATTGAGCGCAGGCGGTGAACTAAGTGGTCGCCGGTTCAATTCCCAGTCAGGGCACACGCCTGGGTCACAGGCCAGGTCCCTGGTAGGAGTGTGGGAGAGGCAACCATTCGATGTATCGCTCACACATTGATGTTTCTCTCCCTCTGTTTCTCCCTTCCTTCCCTTCTCTAAAAGTAGGTTGCTGGCCGCTGAATACAAGCCCTTGGTTGAGTGTGTGTGTTGAAAATTTCTCCCACTCTGTGGATTGCCTTCACGCTCTTTTTGATCATAAATTATGATAAACATGATATTAATTTTAATGTAATTGAACTGCAATTGAATTGTAATTGAACTGATATTAATTTTAATGTAATTGAACTTATCAATCTTGTCCTTTGTCATTAATGCTTATATCCAATGTCCCTATGTTGAGATCACAAATATATTTTCCTACACTACCTTCTAGGAGTTTTATTCTTTTGCCTTTTGCAGTTAGATCAATAACGTATTCAACTTAATTTCATATGTTGTTTTCTGTGTGGTGTACGCTAGGGGTCAACATTCTTTTTTTTAAATATTTTATTTATTTATTTTTAGAGAGGGGGAAGGGAAGGAGAAAGAGCAGGAGAGAAACATCAATGTGTGGCTGCCTCCCATGTGTCCCCCACGGGGGACCCAGCCCGCAACCCAGGCGTGTGCCCTGACTGGGGACCGAACCAGCGACTCCTTGGTTCACAGGCCTGTGCTCAGTCCTTCGAGCCACACCAGCCAGGGCTAATATTCTTTTTTTGTTGTATATTTGTCTACTTTTATTTTTAGTAATTTTTTCACATTTTTTTAGTGTTGTGCAAGTACAGTTGTCTCCATTTCCCTCCCACCACTCCCCCCTACCCCAGTCATCCCCACTTCCCACCCTTGATCTTACCCCCCTTTGGCGTTGCCCATGTGTTCTTCCTTTTTCTTTTTTTAAAATATATTTTATTGGTCATGCTATTACAGTTGTCCCATTTCCCCCTTCATTCCCCTCCACCCTGCACACCCCCTCCCACCCGCATTCCCCCCACTTTAGTTCACATCCATGTGTCATAAGTTCTTTAGCTTCTACATTTCCCATACCATCCTTACCTTCCCCCTATTGTCTCCCCACCGTCTATGCTACTTATTCTCTGTGCCTTTTCCCCCTCTCTCCTTCTCCCACTCCCCTGTTGATAACCCTCCATGTGATCTCCATTTCTGCGGATCTGTTCCTGTTCTAGTTGTTTGCTTAGTCTGTTCTTGTTTTTGTTTTAGGTGTGGTTGTTAATAATTGTGAATTTGCTGTCATTTTACTGTACATGTTTTTTATCTTCTTTTTCTTAGATAAATCTTTTTAACATTTCATATAATAAGGATTTGGTGATGATTAACTCCTTGAATTTGACCTTATCTGAGAAGCACTTTATCTGCCCTTCCATTCTAAATGAAAGCTCTGCTGGATAGAGCAATCTTGGATGTAGGTCCTTGCCTTTCATGAGTTGGAATACTTCTTTCCAGTCCCTTCTTACCTGTAAGGTCTCTTTTGAGAAATCAGCTGACAGTATTATGGACGTTCATTTGTAGGTAACTCTCCTTTTGTCTTGCTGCTTTTAAGATTCTCTCCTTATCTTTAATTTTGGGTAATGTAATTTTGATGTGCCTTGGTGTGTTCCTCCTTGGGTCCAACTTCTTTGGGACTCTTTGAGCTTCCTGGACTTCCTGGAAGTCTATTTCCTTTTCCAGATTGGGGAAATTCTCCTTTATTATTTGTTCAAATAACTTTTCCACTTGTTGCTCTTCCTCTCCTCCTTCTGGCACCCCTATAATTCAGATGTTGGAACATTTAAAGATGTCCTGGAGGTTTCTAAGCCTCTCCTCATTTTTTTTTTAAAATTCTTGTTTCTTCATTCTTTTCTGATTAGATGTTTCTTTCTTCCTTCTGGTCCACACCATTGATTTGAGTCCCAGTTTCTTTTCCATCACTATTGGTTCCCTGTACATTTTCCTTTATTTCACTTAGCATAGTCTTCATTTTTTTCATCTAATTTGCAACCCAATTCAACCAATTCTGCGAGCATCCTGATCACCAGTGTTTTGAACTGTGCATCTGATAGGTTGGCTACCTCTTCATTGCTTAGTTGTATTTTTTTCTGGAGCTTTGATCTCTTCTTTTGTTTGGGCCTTTTTTTTTTTTTTTTGTCTTGATGTGCCTCATATAATAAGGAGCAAAGCCTTAGGTGTTCACCAGGGCAGGGCAACCCAGTCACTGGGTTGTGACGCCGTACGTGGGGTAGGGGTCCGAGAGGGAACAATGGCACTTGCTCTGCTCTCTGCCGTATTTCAGTCCCTTCCCCTGCTTCCCCCAAGCAAACTGGGCCCTTCTGGTGCTAATCCCCGGTGAGTGGGCTTGTGTACATTCTAGGACCCTGTGGGTCTCTCCAATGAACTCTCCTGTGAGGCTGAGAGTCTCTCCCTGCACCTCAACCCCCACAGGTGTTTTCAATCGGAGTTTTGAGGCTTTATTTCCCCGAGCTGGGACCCTGGGTTGCTCAGTCTGTCCCGCTCCCCAGTTGTGCTTAGTTTATTTGTGTGCGAATGTGGGACCACCTGATCTGCCCGCCACCTTGTGTGCTGCGCCCCTCCACAATCCACTACCTTGTTGGGTCCACCAGCCGCCACTTTGCCATGAGTCTTCTCCATCCCGGATGCCCGACTCGGCCCCTCCTACAGGTCTGGATGAATGTTTCTTCTTTAACTCCTTGGTTGTCGGACTTCCATACAGTTCGATTTTCTGTCAGTTCTGGGGTTCGGGTTTTTTTTTTTTAAGATTTTATTTATTTATTTTTAGACAGAAGGGAAGGGAGGGGAAAGAGGGAGAGAAACACTGATGTGTGGCCGCCTCTCACATGCCCCCCCACGGGGGGCCTGGCCCACAACCCAGGCATGTGTCCTGACTGGGAACGGAACTGGCAACCCTTTGATTTGCAGGCTTGCATTCAATCCAATCAGCCACACCAGCCAGGGCTGGTTTTTGTTTTTAAATTGTTGTCCTTTTGGTTGTGCGAGGAGGCACAATGTGTCTACCTATGCCTCCATCTTAGCCGGAAGTCCTTCAATATTCTTTTTTTTTTTTTTAAGATTTTATGTATTTATTTTTAGATAAGGAAGAAAAGGAGGGAGAGAAACATTGATGTGAGAGAGAAGCATGGGTCAGTTGCCTCTCATATGCGACCCGACCAGGGACTGAACCCACAAACCAGGTATGTTCCCTGACCAGGGACTTCTGCTTTGCGGGATGATACCCAGTCAACCGAGCCACACCAGTCAGGGCCAATATCCTCTTTCTTTTCCCCAACTGGATATCCAGTTGTTGCAGTGAGCTTTTATGAGTTCATCCTTGTTCTCCTCACCTCACATCCGTCTTTCCTTCCTCACTTTTGGCGGGGTTCACCTGTACAGACCTAGGACCCAGCTCCAGATGCACACGTAGCAAACAGCTTTGCATAGATTTTCCCATGTTTCCTACATGTGCATAAGGGATGCACTTATCCCATGTGCATAGGGATAAGGTCTAATCCCTATGATAAGTTTCTCATTTTATATTATTCATATTATTCATAAGGGATCTACTTAGCTGATCAAATACTGACTGATATAATACTATTAAAGTGGGAAGACTCATTCTACTAGATATCAAGATTTGTTTGAAAGTTGCTATAATTAATACATTTTGGTATTGATACTATGATAAACAAATAATCCAAATGAATGGAACAGCATTTGCAAACAGACCCGCACATATATGGACACGATTTATAACATACAGTGGCATTATAGTCTTTCTCTTGATTTCCAGTTCCCCTGGAAGGAACTTAGGTCTGGCTGGGGCCCACCCTTGTGCATCGGGAGAGGAAAGTGGCCAAAGACAGAGGGTCTGTAGGAAGCCGAGCAGTTGGCACTAGTTTCTTTTTCTTTTTTAAGTTTTTTAAAAATTGTTTTTAAGACTTGATTTTCCCCTTCCACTAAAAAATCAGTTTAACAACAACAAAAACCCCCCCAGAGGACCTTATCTGAAAAATCTAAAATCTTTACACACTTTCTCTCAGTATTTCCAAACAAATTACTATTTATTCTATAAATGGCACCAGCTTCTTGAAAAAACAAACTTAAACCTTTCAGAGAGAGAGAGTGGGGATGCATCATCACACTCCATGATGGGGTCAACTCTGGATTTGATTCATTGGTGTTCTGTGGGCTTTCGGCATAGAACGTGGTAAGGTGCCTCTGCCTTCTGAGATGAGACAAAGCTGGGAGGGCACTGGGAACCACTCACCTTGAGCAGCTGGAGCTGCTCCACGAGGCTCCTTGCCACCCAAGAGCCTCCTGGATCCCACCCATCAGCCACCCAAAGAGGAAGGACACTCACACCTGGTTTCATGCTCAAAATCTTTATTCTCAGCATATGCTTGTGCCCAGCTGACTAGGAGCGGGACCTTGTGAGACTTTGCTAAGGTGACCTTTGGGGAACTGACCAGGTCACCAGAGCCACGAGATGAGGATTGAGAAGGTGGCAGTAGCCATGAAGGCTAGGCCAGGGTGTGGGGAGGCTTTTGAGGGTCTCTGGAGAATATGACTGGTTGGCTTCTTGGTCACCTCCAGGTGTGCGGCGGGGTATTCACGCTGACACTGAGACAGAAGATGGGAGTGGCAGGACCTGCCCACCTGCCTGTCTGGAAACTCATCCTCTGCAGGGCTCTGACCACTGCTTTCATCTCTCACCTGCGGGTGGGAGTCATCAGTCAGTGGCTCCCCCAGAGCACCCCTCCCTTGCTCAAACCACTGAAGAATCCTTTGGCCCAGCCGAGTGTAATACCTGTTCCACTTGTCTGAAGACCCGCAGCAGATTTCCTCGAAGGACACCCTGAAGCTCTTCTTCACTCCAGCCCCGACTCAGTAACTCTTCTATCAGAACCGGGTATGTGGATACATCCTCTAGCTCCAGAGGGAACCTGTGTAGCCACCAGCCATCCAGCTGTGGGATCTGGGCCCTGATCCTGATCTTGGGCCTCTGTCCCAGTAGCCCCAGTGACTTATGGGAAATTAAAGGCCATGTTCTTCAGGCTACTAAATGCAGTTTAGGAAGCTCCTTGAAGACTGGGTTTCTGTAGCATCTGCCCACTGAGCAGATGATCAGCCCACAACAGACCTGCTGGGCTGGGAGTGGAGCTTGTGCAGGACAGATGAGCTCTGCCTTGGGGAGGGGATTACTTAACCAGGGTGAGGACCTGGAATGGCAATGGGTCCAGCGCGCCAAAGAAGGGATGGGGAGAGCCCAGGAAACAGGCCCCGGGATTGGGGAAATGTTAGGTTGGCTGGAAGGCAAGAGGCTGTGATTGAGGCTTGAAGGATGGGAGGACTGAAAGGTGGGGAGTTATAGCTCCTGAGAAAAGCCCCAAGGAAAACCACTCACCGGCCAGACCCGTCATAATTTCCGCCAATCCCGATGAACTCAGATCCAATGACTGCCCTGATGTGGTCGAAGTGATCTAGAGAGGGGAGGTTCATGGTGGGCAGCACTGGACTGGAGTGTGGCCCTGTGACCAGTCCTGGTCTGGGGAAGCTCAACCTTGGCTGGTTCCCTGCTCACAGTACTCCAGGCCCTGGCAGCTGACTCCAGAGAGCTCCTGGCCAGTTGTGAGTTCTGAAGTGGCTACAGGCTGGACACTGGACCTAGAGTGAATCTCAGAGCCACCCCTTTGGACCTTTTCCTGCCCAGGAGCCACCCTGCCTCTGGGTTCCTTGGGAGCCTGGTTGGGGGCCTTCCTGTCCTGTCCAGAGGGGTGGGAGTGAAAATGAGATTCAGAGACAGAGGCAGCTGCCTGTCCAGCCCCATCAGTATTGACTGTGGGTCCAGACCTGGCAGGCAGTGAAGAGCTGTGTCTACTCCCCTGGGTTGTTGGGAAGCCTGTTCATTACCTAACAGGGGTGCTAGACAGGTGGAGCTGTCCTGAGCCCTGATGGTCACAGGCCCAAGCTAGAACTGCCCAAGGAATTGAGGTGGGGCTCACCTGCCACAGTGGACACATTAGCAAACAGGTTACACTGTAAAATCCCCATGGACAGCGTCACCATCACAATGCCACCATTCTTCTTCTGCAGTGATAAACAAATGGATACTTAGTTTGGCCCTTCTGGTCTAACAGCCTGCCTCCTTGTGCCCTAGGGGTCCAGGTAGGACAGTGCTGAGTGCCGGCCTAAGGGGTTGGAAAACACCTCACCTCTTGTGGGTCTGTGGGCTCCTGGGTGGAACTGACTGGACTTGAGTTTCCGAGATGGGGAGGATGAACTTTGTTTGGGTCTGAAAGTGAGGTTGGGGCTGGTAGCTTTGATCAGGGTCAGGAATCTTTCTGTGAAGCATGCTTGGCCCTGGGTTTGAGGGCTGAGGCAGTCACTCACCAGAAGTTGCAAGATGTCATCGGGAACATTCAGCAAACTGTCGCACACAGCCTTGGCAGCTGAGTGGGAGAAGATCACAGGAGCCCTCGATACCTTCAGCACTTGTTGCACCACGGTGTCCGACGCGTGGGACAAATCCACCATCATGCCCAGGCGGTTCATTTCCCCTACCACCTTCTGCAGGGACGGTTTTTTAGTTTGGGTGTGTGTGTGTCAGGGATGCACATATGTGCATGCATCTGTAAGGAAGGAGTGGGTTAGGGTAGAGAACAGGAGGCCTCACCTCACCAAAGCTTGTCAACCCACTGACGTTGGTGTAGAAGTGGTGCTTAAACTTGGTGGAACTGTCTGCCCTGCAAAACAAGCAAGAGGAGGGCAATCTCATGGGCCATATCTTGGCCATTAGAGCTTGGGGACCCTGCAGTCTCTGTTCATCCATCCCACCTCCAGAACAGGGTAAAGACCAAGGCTAGCTGCTGTCCGGGAGTGTGAGTGACCTGTGGCAGTCCAGCCTCCCTCTCTGGACCCCTCTGTCCTCACCTCTCTGGCAGTTTCCCTGCCAAGCCATCCATCATTCCACTATGCTCACCAGGGTGTGCTGCAGGTGAAGGTGAGGGTCAGGTAGCGCACTCCCAGCAGATAAAAACTCCTCAGTACAGAGAAACTGCTGTCCAGTGAGTGACCACCTTCCACGCCGATGAGGCAGGCCAGCTTCTGAGTGCTGTTCAGACCTAGAACAGGGTAGATAATCAAGTAGTCAGGGACCAAAGCCAGAAGCACCAGAGTAAGCCCCAAAGCCCCACTATTCTCCCATTCGACAGCCCACCTTCAGCTGAGGTCACAAGCTCCAGTTCAGTGTAGGAAGCACACATGCGATGAATGAGATCGATTTGCTCCAGCGTGAGGCGCACAGCATCCTGGTCCTGGGTCTGGCAAGGTGTGTAGGCTGACCAGAACTAGGAGTAGGGCCCAGGGGTCCAGAATGAGACCAGACCTTGGCCTGGCACTCCTTCTCAGCCCCCACAGTACTCATTTGCGTCAGCAGCCCAAGTGAAGCACCGCACGACCCAGTGGCACCTTAATGACTATCCAGCTTGCTGTCAGCAGCCAAACTGTGGACTTGTGACACACCACCGTGGCCTGCTGTTTTGTGTGTGCTGTGTGAATGCCTCAGGGCCAATCCACCATGTCCTTTGTGGTTCCGGCACCGCCCACAATAACCAGGGATTTTCTGGTCACTTTCACTGTGTCTCCACAGAACCTAGGAACCCACTTGGCCACTTGTCTTAGCCTCCAATGCTCCCAAACTTCACAGCAGCCATATGATGACACGCTGTATGTCCTGTGATAGAGGACTGCCTACCCAGGTTTCTGTGGCCCCCACGGACCCCAGAAGTCATGCCGTGGCACCCTGTGTTTCCCTGTGTTACCTGGGCTCCCACGAGGCCATCCCTAAGCTTGTCCAGGTTGGTCTGGCTGTGACTGAAGTTGCGCAGGTTAACGTTTTGTAGTCTGTTCTGAAAACGTTCTCTCAGGACCCGGGGCAGATGGTTGTGGCTGGGGGCACCAAGGCAAGGTTAGAGTAGGGACATGGGTTCCAGGTCAGTCAGGACGTGGCGACATGCCTGGGCCTGTTCTCTCCCACTGTCCTGTCCCACTTCACCTTCCCACCTCACACAGACAGTACAGAGACCTCTGGAGGTCCAACTTGGGGGGTGGTGCCACCAGAAATGGGGTAACGGGGCAAAGAGGCCCATGAATGACGGGGGAGGGTATCCAGGGGCGGTGTGAGGGAGCCTCCTCACTAGCTCTGCATGCTCAGGACCCCTCCCCTCCCTAGGGGTGGACGGCAGCCACCACTGGTCTCCACCCCACATCTACTCACCCATCCACTAGTGGGAAGTTCCGCATCAAGGCCCGTGCGTGCTCCTGCAGTCTCTGGGCTCTGGGGGGTCCTGGCGGGGTTGGGACACTCGAGACACTGGATGTGGTCATGTCGCTGGCGGTTCCCAGCGCTGCTGGGGCACTGGGTGCAACCGGCTTGGTCTGGGCGCGGGTTACTGGCTGTGACAGCAGAAACAGCAAGAACAGCAGGCGCAGCAGATGCTGCCGGCCGAGCACGTGGGAACACTCGAGGCCTGCGGGCAGCATGTTGCATGGGTCCTGGCAGGCGGGCAGAGGGCGAGAGTGGGGTCCTGACCGTTGTTGATTTAGGTGCCTCAGTGGCGCGGCCTCGTGAGGAGAGTCAAGACTCTGGAAAGACTCCGGGAGAGTCACAACACCGCAGCACTGTGTGGCCGCCAGGGGGCGGTACGGGCCACCTGCCCTCTAGTGGAGAGCTCCCCAGTGGGCCAGGCCGGCCTCCGCCGCGAGCGCCCTCTGGCGATGCATCTTGGGCTCCATCTGCACGGGATCCCTCCGCCCCACTCCTCGTCCAGACCGACAGACAGACTAAAGGAGTGGGCCTGTGGGGGAACTGGAGCCCAGGAGTGTCCCTAATCTCACCCATAATCAGACAAGCGGAATTTTAGTTGCAGGGATGTGCCTCACAGGTCAACTCTTCCATGAAATTCTAAGCTCCACTTCAGAAGAGTGAATTACTGGTAGATCTGTTTGACAGAAAAAAGATTCCCTGTATGTGTAATAAAAATGAAATTTAGAAACAGTATTTGTGGGAGACCACTTTGCTTCCGTGCATGTTAATATACATGCAAAAAAAAAAAAAAGAGAGGAGAGAGCCCTGGCTGGTGTAGCTCAGTGGATTGAGCACAGGCCTGCGAACCAGACAATCACAGTTTGGTTCCCAGTCAGGGCACATGCCTGGGTTGCAGGCCAGTTCCCAGCAGGGGATGCACAAAAGGCAACATTGATGTTTTTCTCTCTCTCTTCTTCCCTTCCCCTCTAAAGATAAATAAATACTTTAAAAAAGAGAGAGACTCTAGAGGAGTATGCATACTAAACAGTTAATATAGCCAAGCCATCTTGGGAAGGGGGTCTCTCTCTGTGATACAGTTATCCTGGCTGAGGGAATCTGTTGGTAGTGATGGTGAAGGCTGGCCAGGGTGGGAAGACATTAGGTAGGGGAGGCACCAGAGCATGGCTGAGTGTTGGAAGGAAGGGGCCTGGATCAGGCCAGGGGAGCGGAGAGGGCATCCCAGGGTGGCCAGTGGCCGAGGTGAGTGGGCAGGGTGACTATGCTGTGGAGGAGGAACTGGAAGACCCTGGGGTCTGGGGAGGGTGTTAGGTTTGACACATGGCCTCACTTGGGGCAGAAATCCTCCTTTGAGACAAGGTGGTTTCCAGGCTGGCCATAGTCCTGAACGATATAATTTATTATTTTCTGCAGACAAAACCCCAATTTAGGGGGAATTGATCTCAGAACTGCACCTGGTTGGCATCTGACCCTGCACCAGATCCTAACAGGCTGAGGGGCCAACAATGCAGACTGAAATGAGTTGTCCCCCCGTTTACATCTGTGCCTGTCCCCTGTTCTCCCAGCTGGCTCCCTGATAGGTGGGCCTCCCCTCTGGACACCAGGAGAAGGACCTCGGCCTCTGGTGACTGCTGCTCCTGTGCATTGCTGCCCCCTCTGCATGCCTTGGTGTTGAGGACTGAGTCTGACACAGCTACTCCAGCTTCAGCTCTCTCAGGCAGAGGGTGGGGGGAGAGCAGGGGAAATAAATGTTTATTCTGGCCTCTTATGCACCTTAGCTGACTTCCGTGGAAGTCTTTGACTAAGTGATATTAAACATGATGATAACTTTGCTGATAATTTCCTAGAAATGCAAAAGCACTGCACATGCAGCTGTTTCCTATATTAGTCTAGATGAAAGGTAAGGGCATAATGTTTACAGTAAAATTTTAAAATGTTTTCCAGACATAAGCAATTCTAAATGTCTGGTCTTGGTTGACTAAGTAAATCAAAGTTACACTCCTTTTGACAACAACTACAAAAGATGGGCAAAATATAAAAAGGGTCTTCTTGATGACATCAGTGAACAAGATATTGAAAAATTGCTTGTCAAGGACCCAGGGAGTGTGGAAACCCAGAGATGCGTCTAGCCTTTGGGCTGTTTCTTCCACTAGCTGCACCGTGGGGCCAAGAAGACAGATTAGCATCCAGAGCCCAAGGTAAGGGGAGCCACGATGGGCACTCTTGAGGTGAAACTCCAAAGAGCAAATCAGACCTGCAGCAGTCCCGGTTAGTAACAATTGTTTCTCAACCCAGGTCCAGCCTGCTGTTCTCTGCTCTGTAAGGCTGGGGCTGGCAGGAAGCTTAAACTCAGGGGGAGGAAAGAGAAATGCTTTTCTTGTTCGTGTCAGTGCGGTTCCAGCCACTGCCGGCTATGGCTATGGTCTCCGACTTGTGGCCAGTGCACAGCAGCCTTGCCACGCCCATTTAGAACACCTGCACCACCAGAGTCCTCATCGGCCTCAGCCTCCTCTCAGAGGACTGAGCTCCAGCAACACAAGGCCCTCCACTAAGCTTCTGTCTTCTAGTAACCCCTACACCACAGGTGGCAAACACAAGGCCCGTGGGCAGAATCTGGCCTTCCACTTTGTTTCATCCAGCTGGGCACCTTGTGTCTACCCAGCTGCAGTGCTGAGCTCTCGCTTAACATTAAGGAGTAGTTACATTTATACAGTCCTGAAATTACATTTGGCCCTTTGAAGGCAACTGGGAGGCTGATGTGGCCCCCGGTGAAAATGAGTTTGACCCCCCCCCCCCCCCGCTGCCCCACCCTATACCTTCCCATTTCTTCCTAAGTGGACCCGGAGCTGGATCAGCTATGGTTGGGAGGATCTTAAATGAGACTAAGGTGACTTCAGAGTGCTATTCAATTGCTTCAAAAGGAGTCAAGAAAGGAGAGAGCAGGTGAAATGAATGGAAAGCACTACTACAACTTTCTGAGAACCGGTACAGAGCCCAGCCAACTGGGAGCCTGGGGGAAGAGGGAAATGTTCCTTGATGTACATTTTAAGGTATTTTTTAATGGTAACCTCTCCAGAACATTAAAATAGTTGAAAAATATTACAGAGCTGGAAAATAGGTGTACTAAAACTCACGACAATATTTCACATTTCTATAATTTTATGTATATCCAACCAGAATTATAATTTTACTATCCTGGCTTTAATGGAAGCAAACTCATGAAAAATATTTTTAAAACCTACTTCTTTGCTTAGTTCATATTCTGTTGAGAGAGTGCACATTTGACAATTTCTCTTGACCAAGTAATTTCTAAATAACTGCCGTTTACTGTAACTTCTTTTATAAGATGCCACTATGATGCTATAGTTACTTTCATTCATGAAGTTAAAGATATTCCACTGTGTATATATTTTCATTATTTCTATTGAAAATTCAGTTGTATTGTTCAAATGATTTAAAAAATGACTACTTTTATGACTATTAGTATTTATCTTTATTAGCCATTATCAATTATGTTTATTATTATTAGATGCAATTAACTGTTATGTAGAAGATTTACTTTTAGAGAGGGGAAGGAAGAGGAGAGAAACATCAATGTGTAGTTGCCTCTCATGTACCCCCTACTGGGGACCTGGCCTGCAACTCTGGCATGTTTACTACACTGAGAATTGAACCAGCGACCCTTTCGTTTGCAGGCTGGCATTCAATCCACTGAGCCACACTAGCCAGGGCTGATTATTAACTCTTAATTTTGGCGATCAATGTAGTTGCTATTACTATTAATGGCCTGGGGGTAAGATGGGGTGGTTGTCTTTAAGTAGCCTGTGACTCTCAGAGAGGAAGTCCCTGGCGAGCTAGGGACAGGTGGGCCTATATCCAGGGCAGTACAGCCATTGGAGGCCCATGGCCCATAGGTGGCCTGACATGCTGGGCTCTGTCCAAATAGGAAGAAAGGTCATTTGTCATCCAGGCAGGTTCCCTACTTGGGAATGTGAACTGGAATTCCCTGAAGGATCCTCAGGTGATGATCAGTGGGTCAGAATGGGGACTGGGAGGAGCTACTCAGAGTACCCAGAGTAGGGTCCACCCTCTTGCAGCCAGAGTCACTCATGTCTTCCTCCATTGCTGAGCCCACCACGTGGGTTTCTCCAGGCCACTATTAACAGGTCTTCCTGGTGGCTGACCTGCAGGGCCCCACCAACCGGCAGCACTGGGAGCCTGCACTGTCAGACCCATCACAGAGAAAGACACTCGCGCCTGGTTCCAGTCTAAAATATTTATTTTCAGGAAATACTTGTGCCTGCACGAAGGGGGAACTTTGTGAGGTGTCCACAGCTACCCAAGTGACATCTGACAGGATTAACTGGGTCATCAGAGCCACAGAATGATGACTGGGAAGGCGGCAATAATTGTGAGGCTTGGGAGCATGTTGGGGGATGAATTTGAGAACGACTTCTTAGGTGACAAGTCGGGCATCCAATGCATTTGAGTCTCGGTTACTTTCTGGTCTGGAGCCATCTCTTTCTGTCTCTGAGGTGGCCTTGGGAGGACGGAGCGGCAAGGGCTGTCCAGCTGCTCAGCCGGGAATTCATCCTCTAAGGGCCTCTGCCCCTTCTTTTCCTCCCGCACCTGGAAGCAGCAATTGGTGGTCAGCAGCTCCCACAGTTTCCCCTGACACACCTGCTTGGACGCCCGAGTGACTCTTTTGCCCAGCTCAGCATACCTGTTCCACTCGTGTGAAGACCCTCAACAGGTTTCCTCGAAGGACGCCCTGGAGCTCCTCCTCACTCCAGCCCCGTCTCAGCAACTCCTCTATCAGTACTGGGTATGTGGACACGTCTTCCAGCCCCTGAGGGAAACTGTATGGCCGCCAGGCAGCCAGCTGTTGGACCTCAGACCTGTTCCCTGATCCTGACTTAGGACTACAGCTCTATGTGTCCAAGGTCCTCTGAACCCCAGCCCTGGTCAGATATGGGAAATGGAGACTGGGAGAGAGTAAATGATTCACCTCTGCGGTTCATCTTTCAGAACCAAGACCTCCTTGAACACTCATCAAAACTCATTTCAATTGAATTATTAAGATCTATGCCTTTCACTGAATGCAAATTTCTTCTCTATATATAAAAAGAAGAAAAGCTTTTTGAGAATTGGGTTGAACCTTTACAGGCACAGACCCAACTGCAAGCAGAAAAAATGCTATGCCCGTACCAGATGTTGCTAAAAGTCTGCCCAGAGGCAGTGTGTCTGCCGGCACCCACTTGGGATGGGTGTACATGCTGGGCAAAAGAGCCCTGCCTGGTGGCTCAGCCAAATATGATGACTTAAGAGTGTGGCTAATGGACCACAGACAGACAGGAGGGCCCAGGACACAGACACTGGGTGGGAAGATGCCAGGTGGGCCAGCAGACCTGAGGCTGCGGTCAAGGTCTAAAGGCCGGGAGGACCATGCTATGTTGGGCATGGAGACTGTGAAGGCCCCACTGCTGCACAGCCACAGGCGAGCACTCACCGGCTGGTCCCATCATAATCTCCGCCAACACCGATGGACTTGGACCCAATGACTGTCCTGATGTGGTCGAAGTGATCTAGGGGACGGAGAGTCAACAATGCAGGGCTTCCAGGGCTGGGCTGGGCTGGGGAGTGGGGACTGGACTCTGGTGATTCCCCTTCTTGTAGCCGTAGGCCATGCAGGCCAATTACTTCATGGCCTGGTGCCCGGTGTACCAACTTGAGAGCCCTGAGGTTTGACTTGATGTGATCCCAGCTGGCTCTAGACTGGACTTCACATCTGGAGTAGATCCCGGAGCCACCAGTTTGGGCCATTTCACATCAGGATTCACCTCGCCTGAAGTCTCCTTGAGAACCCGTGAGTGCTCCCTTCCATTCGTGTGGAAGAGGAGAGAGGGACAAAGAGCACAATGGACAAAGATCACAGAGACCCAAGGGGCTTCCCAGTCCCTTGGCCAGAGGCAGGAACAGGGCACTTTGGAAGCCCCTACAGAGGCGCCCAGGCTTTATGTCCAACTGCTTATACTCACCGGTACTGCACTATCCCCTCTGTGGCTCCAGTTCTACATGGTAGCAAGGTACTGTGTGCTGTCTGTTTGGGGGGTTTTGCTTACTGCCAATGGGTGGGTCAAATGTGTTGGTTGCTCTGAGGTCCCCCTCCAAAGCTTCACGTCCAAATCAGAGCTGCTCAGGGTGGGCTTACCTGCCACAGTGGACACGTTGGCTAACGGGTTGCACTGCAGCACCCCCACAGACAAGGACACCATCACGATGCCACCATTCTTCTTCTGCATGGGTGGACAAGTGGACTCTCAGCTTGGCCTCCCCCCCGCACCCAGCACAAGCACCTGCCTGTTCACCCACTGGGCCCCTGTGAGGAAGGTGTTCAGCCCTGGCTTTGAGGTCAGAGGAGACTTCATCTCCCTGGTTTTGTGAATGGAGGAGTCTCAGCCCTGGTTTGGGTGGTGTCTTGGCCCTGGGTTTGAACATTTAGAGGAGTATTTACTGCCTAGAACCCTCACTTGGGTTCAAGATTTCAGGGCTACGGACTGGGAATTTGTGGGGCACAGGGTTTGAGGGAATTGAAGGAGCTGGGGCTCATGTTCAAGGACTCTTTGTTCAAACCTCTTGCCTTAGGTTCAAGGGCCAGGGCAGTCTCTCACCAGAAGCTGCAGGATATCATCAGGAACATTCCGTGCATTGTCGCACACCTGCCGGGCAGCTGAGTGGGAGAAGATCACAGGTGCCTGTGACACTTCCAGGGCCCGTCGTGCCACGGCGTCTGAGACATGGGACAAGTCTACCATCATGCCCAGGCGGTTCATTTCCATCACCACCTTCTGCAGGGACAGGTTGAGGAGGCATTAGGGGTGTACATGTATGTGTGATTATTTGCATGGAAGAGGTGGGATATGTACATGCACGTGGGGAGGGTATGAAACTAGGGCTCTCACCTCACCAAAACTGGTCAGCCCGCTGACATTGTTGTAGAAGTGGTGGATGCCCTTAGCTGAGCTCTCTGCCCTGCAAGATGGCCAGAAGGCAGTCTGACTGGTGGCCACAACTTGGCCACAGGAGCCTGATGCCCTGCTGAACCCTCTATCCCTATACCCCCTTAGAGCAAGAGCAGGAACCCAAGCTGGGCTGTCTGGCAGTAGGAGAACTCTGCTTGGGTCCAGTGGATCCAGTCTTGCTCAGTTTACCCAGCTCCCCTCCCCACTTCAGGGTCAGTGCCAGATCCCAGGGGTCAAGTGTGGTCTGGGTCCCAGTGCTGCATTGTGCTCACCAGGGTGTGTTGCAGGTGTGGGTGAGCGTCAAGTATCGCACACCCAGCACATAGAAGGTACGCAAGATGGAGAGGCTATTGTCCAGTGAGTGGCCGCCCTCCACACCAATGAGGCAAGCCAACTTCCGGGTACTGTTCAGAGCTGTGGGCAAGTAGGTCAGGTGGTCACTTTCAGGGGCTGGGGTAGCAAAGTCAAGTACCTAACGCTGCCCCACCAGCCTGCCTGCCTACCTTTCACTGAGGTCACAAGCTCCAGTTCAGGATAGGAGGCACACATACGGTGGATGAGGTCAATCTGCTCCAGGGTGAGGCGCAGGGCATCCCGTTCCTGTGTCTGGCATGGGACGTAGGCTGACCAGAACTGGGGAAACCCAGGGATTGGCTTGGGTGGGGGCTTCTTTGGAGTTCCTCCTTTTATAGCCTCCACGGCCCACACAGCACTTGGTGGACCCAGGGGTCATATGTAATGACCTGCTTGTTCCACGGTACTGGGATATGCACCAAGCTGGTTCACCATGGCCCCTGCAGCTCCCAGCATCCATCCCATGGCACTTTTTGGGTCGCTATGGTAACTGAGTTCCCATGTAACTAACATATCATGATCTCTAGGGCCCAAATTCTCTCATATTCCTAAGCAGCCAGTGGCACCTTATGTGTCCCTGCCCCATACCTGTGCACCCACGAGACCATCTCTAAGCCTGTCCAGGCTGGTCTGGCCATGGCTGAAATTGTGCAGGTTAACATCCTGTAGCTGGTTGTGGTAAAACTGCCTCAGGACCAGGGGCATGTCGTTGTGGCTAGAAGGAGGTCAAGGAAAGGTCAGGCCAGGAGCAAATGGGTGGACTCCTTCAGGCCTGGGGATAAGCCCAGACGTGTTGCTCTGCCTGGGCTGGCCCAGGCATTCCCACCCCACACTGTCACACAGACTGGTATACTAGGACCCTCTGAGGCCTGGGCTAAGGCATTCCCACTAGGGAGAAGGTGACACAGGAGGTGAAAGGGCTTTTATGGATAATGAAAAAGGGCATCGAGGGCCAGTGTGAAGGAACCTCCTCACTAGTGCTGCATGCTCTGGACCCCCTCCCCGGCCCAGGGGTGAGCCAGGCCTCCACAGCTCCCCCCAACCCCCACCGCACTCACGCACCCGTCCACCAGTGGGAAGTCTCGCATCAAGGTCCGAGCACGATCCTGCAGATTCTGAGTGTTAGGGGTTCCCGGCGTGGTCGGGGCACTAAGGGTGCCTGTCGCAGTAGAGTCGCTAGGGGCTCCTGGCCTAGTCGGGGCACTGGGAGTGCCAGGTGTGGGTGGGGTGCTAGGGGTGTCCAGCACCGTTGGGGCGCTGGGGGTGCCCAGCGTGGTCTGGGCGCAGGTTACTGTCTGCTGCCGCAGCAGCGACAGCAGGAACAGTAGATGCAGCAGAGGCCTCTGGCCGAGCATGTGGGGACACTCGAGGCCCGCGGGCCGCATGCTGCGCAGGTCTGAGCAGGCAGGCAGGGGCTGGTCTCGAGGGCCTGAGAGACGCAGGAAAGGGGTAGAAGGCGAGGAGGGGTCCCAACGGTCGGCCCAGGTGACTCAACAGTGTGGCCTCGCGAGAGGAGAATGAAGTCACAGGACCTTGTTACGGGAGAGCAGAGAGCTGCTACGTTGAGCTGCGCTCCCACTACGGGGTGGCTCCGCCCTCCTGCTTCCGGCCCAGAGGGCGCCCCCTTGGGCTCGGTCGGCGTTCCGCGCTTGCGCCATCTAGCCTCCCATCAAAGGTCCACATCCTGCCCATCTCCCCACACCCACTGCTCTGATGGGGCAGACACAGGTTTCTCTCCCTCCGACCTGAGCCTTGCTCTCAAGAGAGAGCGCCTGGAATGATTCTGCCTCAGGTTGGCCCTCTGTCCTGTGACCTCTCCCAACCACATCATGTCCCATCTGCCTGTCGTATGTCCTAGGCACCCCTAGGGCCACGCGCCGGTGTCTCCGTGCTCACAGTGTTCTCTGGGCATCCGGTTTTTCGGTGCTGGGTCACCTCGGTTGAGTGTGGGGGAGGAGATAGTCTCTGGAAATGAGGGGTTAACTTTATGGACTCTGGATTCAAGAAAGGCCCCCTCCCCCTGACCTTCTCTTTCCCCTACTTTACTCCCCAGCCTGCCTGTCCAGCCCTGAGGACTCCACCCAGGAACCGGGAAATGTCAGAAGCCCCTCTGTCCCATCTTCCCCAGGCAGCCTCAGGTAAGAGCTTTTTCCTCAGTACACCTACACCTCCCCCAGGTCTGAATAGAGGGACTTTGGGGATGTGAACTGGGCAAGCATCTGGAGAAAGTCAGGAACATTATATTTACTCAACAGAGCAGAAAGGGAGATAGTAGGCCATTGCAGTGGAAGGAAGTGAGTCATTTCCAGGGCAGCAGAGCCCCCAATCCCAGCAACATCTCTCCCAGAGCTGGGGGCTGACCTGCTGGCCAGGATCCCTCCTACCTCAGTGAGGAAGCCTCCGCCTTGCTGAAGTCAGAAATAAGGGTCCTAAGGAAAAAGGCCTGGCACTTTCTGTGGCTCCACCCACCTTATCCTGTGGTTCCTCTGGCTCTCAGAAAACGTTGAAGACAGTTCCTGTCCTTGCCTGACAGGCCCCACCCGATTCCCAGCCTCAGGCCCTCATTCTAGTTGTCTCTTCCAGGAACCCCCACCCACACACCCACCCACACACATGCACACACATATATGGAGGCTATGCCTTATCACAGTTTGCATATTTTCCTTCCTCAAAAGGCAGCCATTGTTGATCTTGCTAGACGTGCAGTAACTACAAAGGCATCTCATTTCCATTCAGCCTTCTCCCTAATCCCCACCTTTCTCTCTAGCACTCTTGCCAGGATCTCTAACACTCCTAGGGCTGCTTTTTTATTTTTTAAATTTATTTTTAGAGAGGGAAAGGGAGGGGGAAAGAGAGATGGAGAAACATCATTGTGTGGTTGCCTCTTGGGGTGCTCCCCACCCAGAACCTGGCCTGCAACCCAGGCATGTTCCTTGACTGAAAATCTGACCGGCGACCCTTTGATTCACAGGCTAGCACTCAATCCACTGAGCCACATCAGCCAGGGCAGGGCATGCTTTTTGATGGAAATGAATGACGATTCAGGTACTCTTGCAGCCAGACTTTTCCTGATCAGTCAGCGAAGCAGATCCAGCACATAAGGTCCCCAAAGCAAAGTTTCAAGTGGTATCTGACAGGTTTGACATGTCTGACTGGGCTGCTTCTGGGGATCAGATATTCTTGTGACTTAGGTGTAAAGCCCACAGGGTTTGCAACTCTTGTTCTGAGGTTGGTTTGCATGCTGTCCCACATCCTTGTGGTAGTGCTATCAACCTGGGCAGGGGGAGGTTGGAGGGCCCTCAGGTATAGGAGTTTGACCCAGGGAGGCCCTCCACAGTGTCTCCAGGATTCAGATAGCAACTCCCGAATTGTGACATTCGGTTGCCTAGAGAGGGGGAGCGTATCATGGAGAACTCTGCCAAATCCAGTCTTTGGTGACTTACTCTCTCTAAAAACAGGGACATCTGGATTGCTCAGGTTCAGGTTTTGCTGATACCTCTCCCTCCTCCTCCTCTTCCTCCTGACAGCAGTCTGTGGGGGTTGCCCCTGCTGGAGGTGGCAAGCAAACGCAGTGAGCCCACGACCTCTTTTTTTCCAGCACGGGGACTATACCTGCACACAGAGGGTGCTCAACCAATATCTGCTGAAGGAGTAAACTTGGAGCTCAGGAGGCTGCCTTCCTTTCTTTCCCAGAGCAAAGGCAGATGACAAGAATGCCGACACATCAGAGCAGCCAATATTGATGTGTGCTTGGAGCTGTGCTACAGGTTTGACATGCTTTCCCCATGACAGCCCACAGGGTAGGGTTCTGACCAGCCTCATATTCTAGGAGAGAACACTGAAGCTCAGCTGGAAGAACTTAACTTTCTCATCCAAAAGCTGGCAGATGGAGCTGGTGTCTGAAACTAGTTTCCTCACCCCCCAGCCCCAATTCTATTCTCCCTCTGTGATAATTCTAGGTACAAAGCAGTTGCCCAAGCTGATGGAAGCCTTTCCTGACATCTGAACTCCTCTGTCTGGAGTCTTCCCTGAATCCAAATCCATCATGCTGGGCAGGGGAATTCCTAAATTTGGGGGCAGCTAGTGAGGACAGTGGAACTGAGAGTTTGTGGGGAGAAATGTATTTAGCCTTCTGTTGTCCTACTGTGCAGGTGCTTCTCCCAACTTTGGAGAATGACCACAGGTCACTCGGTAAGGAGGTCTGCCCTGTCTGCTTCTGCACATGCCCCGTCATTCCTGTTCACCACTGCCAGGCTCAGCAGGGTTGGCTTGGATTGGCCCTATCTTTAGTGAGAGTTCATGGGACACAAGAAAGCCATCTGGAGAAGCCAGCAGTGGTGGGAGAGTAGTCCATTGGCCTTGGGACAGAACTCTCCTTGAATCTGGCTGTGGGGGAGGACAGGTGTGGGGAGTTCGGCGGCTGAGAAGGCAACGATGCCCTCTTGGGCAAGTTAAACAACGATTCCTTGAACTTCTCAACTTCCAGCTTCTGCCTTTCTCACCAGAAGAAGCCTTGGATACCTTACATACGTCCATTTGTCCAGATATCCTTTACTGATCATCAGCTGGCACCAGCTCTTTGCCTGGGGTATACAGTAAAGGGGCTGGACAAGTCTATCGTATGTGCTGTCATAAGCACGCAGAAGGGTGGGCTGTGGGGGAACCAGGTGCTGGTAGCTACTCTTGACCAATCAAACATTTATTTCATGGCACATGTGATTCCTCATTTAGCCTCAAGTTAAAACTTGCCATCTCTTTGCTCAACCTAGCCTGCTCATCTCTGAGGCTCGTCAGACCTGTCTTCCATAATGACATGCTGTGCACAGCACACTGTGCCACGGAGCCCTCTGTGCTTCTGGTTTTTAACTCAGGAAGCCAGCCCTCCTCCGCTTGGTTTCCATAGTGCCCACAGGCTGGTTTACCCTGTGAAGCTGACCTCTGAGCCTTCACTGAATCCAAATCTGGCTGAATATCAGACTGCACCTGAGAAACTCGTATTTTTTGTTTCTTTTAACTTACTAGGTATATTTAAAAATATATAAAACAAGTAGAGAGAGTATATTGAACCCCAGCTTCAACGGTCATCAACTGATTAGCCAATCTTGTTGCATTTATACCATGTACATACCCTTCTACAGAATATTTGAAAGGAAATCAGACATTTATTTTATCCATATTTGTTTGCATCTCTAAAAGGTCCTAACAGGGACTTTAAGTTTGATCAAGGTAGAGGATCTGAATAGGCATTTTTCCAAAAAAGACATACAGATGGTCAACAGGTGAATGAAATGGTTCTCAACATTAGTAATCATCATGAAGTGCGAATCAAAACCACAGTGAGTTATAACCTCACACCTATTATTACTTTTTTAGATTTATTTATTTTTAAGAGAGGAGAAGTCAGGGAGAACAAGAGGTAGAAAAACATTGACTTGTGAGAGAAACATCCATCAGCTGCCTCTCACACGCCCCCCAATAGGGGACCTGACCTGTAACCCGGGCATGCACCCTGACTGGGAATCGAACTGGTGACCTTTTTTGTTTTGCAAGCTGGCACTCAATCCACTGAGCTACACCAACCAAGGCCTATTGTTAAAAAACAAACAAACAAAACGGATGAAATAACAAGAGTTGGCAAAGATGTGAAGAAAAGGGAACTCCTGTGCACTGTTGGAAAAGAAAATTGGTGCAGCCACTATGAAAACAGTATGGAAGTTCCTCAAAAAATTAAAAACAGAACTACCATATGGTTCAGCAGTTCCACTTCGGGTATATATATGAAGAAAACAAAATGCTAACTTGAAAATGTATGTGCACCCCTTTGTTAACTGCAGCATTTTCTCCAATAGTCAAGATATAGAAACAACCCATCTGCCTATTTATGAGTGAATGAAGAAAATGTGGTATAAAGGACACATGGACAAAAACTAAGGGGGGTGGAAATGGGAGGGAGGTGGGGAGCACTGGGGGGGGTGGGCTGGGATGGGAGTAAAAGACAGAAAACTACTCGAACAACAATTAGAATAAATATTTCAATAAAAAATAAAATTATTTTATATTAACAAAAAGAAAATGTGGTATTTCTATGCACAATGGAGTACTTTTCAGCCATAAAAAGGAAATGTTGCCAGTTGTGACAACATGGATAAATCTTGAGGGCATTATGCTAAGTAATGTAAGTCAGGCAGAGAAAGAAAAATACCACAATATCATTTATATATGGACTCTAAATAAATAAAAACAAAAATGACCTCATAGATACAGAGAACAGATTAGTGGTTGTCAGAGGGGAGGAAATGGGTGAAATGGGTGAGGGGGTTAAAAGGCACAAACTTCTACCCTGACCCATGTGGCTTAGTTGGTAGGGTGTCCTCCCACAGAGTGAAAGGTCACCTATTTGATTCCCGTCAGGAAACAAGCCTGGGTTTCAGGTTTGGTCCCCAGTTGGGGCATGTTCAAGAGGCAACCGATGCATGTTTCTCTCCCCGTCCTTCTCTATCCCTAAAAGTAAATAAAATCTGAAAAAATGTACAAAGTTCTATTCATAAAACAAGTCACAAGGATGTACTGTACGGCAAGGTGACTATATTAATGGTATGTATTGTATAGCTGAAAGTTGCTAAGAGAGTACATCTTAAAAATCTCACCGTTGGGAGAAAATGTGGTAACTGTGTATGGTGAACAGACATTAACTAGAGTCACTGTGGTGATCATTTAATAATATATACAAATACCAAATCATTTGGTATTGTATACCTGAAATGTATTACCCATTATACCTAAATATAAGTACAGAAAACTCACTTCACCACCATGCTATTATGGCACCTCAAAAAGTCAACAATACTTTAATATCATAAACTGCCTAATATCATGTTCAAATTTCCTACTACTGATTTTCAGAAAACTTATGTAGATAAGATCCCCCATCCTCACCAAGGGTTGCTCTTCCTTGCAATTCTTTAAAATAATTTTTTATTTACTACGTGATTCTGAGCAAGTTCTTTTTATATCCCTGAGCCTGTTTCTTCAAATAAAAAAACAGGGCTTCACTGTGCATTTAGTACAATATTCTCTTTTGGCAAAGGTTTCCCTGGGCCCATTTCTGATCTTTACAACCTGATCCTTTTCAGTGTGTACTTTCAAGTATTTTGTGGAGTATTGTAATTGACACTGAAGTATTCATCACTTCAGGCATAGCTTATATAATACTGCAGAGCCTGGAGCCTAGGAAATAGTAAGAGGATGCTATACGCTTAATTTGCCAGTTTGGTCAAGACTGTACTCCTCTCTCCTCTTCTGCCATCACCAACAGATGAGGAAAAAGGCAGAGACTGGCAATGCACACCAGGCAGTACTTCTGTGTCAGTCTGCCTTTTGGCAGGACTTTCCAAGGCTAATTTCACCAACAGTGTGCAAGTTTTCCACATACTGATGAAGAAAACTCCTCTCTACTGCTAGTCACATCAGCTTTCTCTCTCATGAGGGCTTAAAGAATGTTTTAGGGGCAGAAAATAAAATTTAAATGTTACAAACTAAAAGTTGAAAGAGTCTTTGTCTTTGGTGTGGCATTTTGGAATGAGTTTTCTTAATCCAATGAATGCTGCCCCAATGGTAACTTATTAGGAGAACCCAGAAAAACATTTTTTTTTGTTGGAGATCATGATATAATATACAGCCAGAGTCTACTTTATTTTTCACTACTCATGAAAGATTACAAAGAGTCATGCTTAGCCACTCTCCAGACTTGCAGGGAGGTGAGTGTGCTCACCCACCCAGCACCACACAGGGAAAGATCAGTTATGGCACTACCTTCATGTCAGCTGGGACAAAGGCTCCCTCACTGAAGACCCCAGTCCTGGAAAGCTTCTCTTCCTGCGAGCTGCCAATTCAATTTTCTGAACCAGGCTCACATCCCAGGGGTGGGTAACAAAGCTGATGACGGTGCCTGGCAACTCACTCCCTACACGGCCCACCCTCCCCGCTCTGTGGATGTAGTCTTGCAGGGTGAGAGGGAAATCATAATTGACAACTAGCTCCACATGGGTACTGTCCAGGCCCCGAGAGGCTATATCTGTGCAGAGAAGTATGTCTCGGTAGCCCTTCTGGAAGCTCTGGAAGATACCTGCCCTCATTGAGGCTGGCATTTGGCCCTGCAACCTTAAATGTTGGATTTTGTGGTCATCCAGAATATAACCTAGCCAGTTCACAGTGCTAGAGCTATTACAGAATACCAGGACAGTTCCTGAGGAGCAAGTCCTATCTGCTCTGTCATGCCACTTGAGGATCTGCACCAACTCAGCTACCTTTTCCGCTCCCTTCAGCCTCATAAATGTCTGTTTGACATGGGGCATGATACAGTGGAGCCTGGAGCTGGTGATGGTGGTTAGAGACTCTGAGCTGGTGACTTTACTCAGCAGCTGGCCTACACCTTCAGGAAATGTGGCCCCTACTAGTACCAACTGAGCTTTAGGATTAAAGGGGTCTTTTAAGTCCTCTGGGCCTTCTGCTACATGGCTCTTCCCTAAGATGTAGTCCATGAGTTCCAAGAAACTTTCATCCAACAGCGTGTCCGCCTCATCCAATACTAAGAAGGATAGCTGCTCCAGGCTGATCAGTTGACATTTCAGAGACTTCCACAGAGCCCCCGGAGTGGCCACTAATACATCAGCTAGGGGCTGTCTGCAAAGTTGCAGCCTAATCCTAATCATGCCACGGCCTCCCCCTAACTCCTGCACCTGGATTCCCAGGGCGTTGCCTAAGGGCTGGGCCACGATCCGCACCTGTTCAGCTAATTCTCGCGAAGGCACGAGGACCAGGCCTCGAGGAGCTGGGATACTGCGGGGGTCTGGTTTTGGCCGGCCCAAGAGCTGCTGAAGCAGAGGGAGTAGGTAGCTGAGAGTCTTGCCACTGCCTGTTTCCGCTGCGCAAAGTACGTGGCGGCCGCGAAGTAACGGGGGGATGGTACTCGACTGCACCGTGGTGGGTCGAAGGACCTCGGGAGCAACCTCTTGTAGTGCACGCAGTACGCGTGGCTCCAGACCCAGATCCGCGAAGCTGCCCTCGGATAAGTTCCGCAATGCTGGTGTCTCACGTTGTGAGCGCTCGATGGAGAAGTGGTCCCAGCGGGACCGCCTATTCTTCCAGCCACGCGAAGCGAGTGGCGCGCTCTCCCAGCGAGCCAGCGTGAGGCGCGCCGGCTGGTTGAACTCCGGCCGCCGCGCCGAGATCAGCAGTGGACCAGGTCGCACCAGCACCGGCCGCAGGGAGTTCCGTCGCCCTCTCTGCCGCTGTTCTTGCCGCCGCTGTAGAGCCCGTGGGATGCGCACCACTGGTAAGGGCTCATCGGGACCGCTAACCGCCAGTTCCCGTCCAGGTGCCCGAAACAAACGAGCTGCAAACAACGAAAGTCGAGGCGACCATACTAGAGCCATGTTTTCCTAGCTGCTGGAGAGGCGCAAGACACTGACGTCACTGCCGCGCCAAGGCGTAGCAGACGGTGGCTGGCGTGGCTCAGTACGACACGCGGAATTGGCGAACCTTGAGGAAGAAGGGAGGTTCTGTAGAATTCAGCACCGGCGAGGTCTGTAAGTCCGAACAGGGGTCGGCGACGTCCAGACCACCGCCTGCCTTGCGGAAGGGTGCGCAATGGAGGCAGGACTAGGGCCCGACCATAAGCGGCGATGGGGCCCTGCCCTTATGGATGAGGAGGGTGGAGGGCTTCTGGCAATTGGGTGTTCGATTCCTGCTATTCTCCTTTGTCGCCCTCACCACCCAGATGATGGCTTTTTCAGTGCTAGTCTGCCACTGTAAACTCCGAGGGTGCGGCGATGTTTTTACAGATGTGGTCCTCGCGCAAGGTCTGGTAATAAGTGTTTAAGAGTATGAATGACCGACAGTGCCAGGAGGCCGAGACAAGGCCAGGTGTGGTAGATCTAGGCTGAACCTCCCCTGCCCCCGATCGCCCCGACCCCCGACCCCGGCCCAACTGGGAGCCCAGAGGACAAGCTGGTAGCCTTCAGCTCATTATGTCAGTGAAGGTCTTCAGGCTCTATTTCAAGCGTACGTGTCTGTTCATACATTTAATTTTTTCACCTGAGGTTCACACTCTACTATATTGTCACCCCACCCAGGTTCTCATCCTGAACCCACTTTTGCGGTCCGCTCACCTCCACTGGTTTCCAAGTCAAATAGTAAATTACTTGAATAGTAGTGAGGAGGGTACTGCTACTCTACGGCGTGATCAGGTATGTGGCTTGTCTCACACGGCCCATGTCAGGCAGAATATTTTACGTGAATTGAGATGTTCAGGTTGCAGATAAACCTCATACTAGTCATAATTCTTGCATAGAGCTGGAAAATGAGTGTCATCTTTAATGTAGTCCCCAGTGCCTGGGGTGGGAGATAAGGTAGGTGTGAATTAATCATCTGGGTGGTTCTTAACATCTGGAGAAAGTGTTTTGTTTTTTTTTTATTTTTAAAATATTTTATTTATTTATCTTTAGAGGGGAAGGGAAGGAGAGAGGGAGAGAAATATCAATGTATGGTTGACTCTCATGGGTCCCCTGCTGGGAACAGGCCTGCAACCCAGGCGTGTGCCCTGACTGGGAATTGAACCTCGATCCTTTGGTTCACAGGCCCGTGCTCAATCCACTGAGCTACACCAGCCAGGGCTTGTTTTTATTTTTTAAAAAGATTTTATTAATTTATTTTTAGAGAGAGGAGAAGAGAAGGAGACAGAGAGGGAGAGAAACATCATTGTGTGAGTGAAAAACAGTTGCCTCAACAGTTGCCTCTCACTTGCTCACAACTGGGGACCTGGCCTACAACCCAGACATGTGCCTTGACTGGGAATCAAACTGGCAACCCTTTGGTTTGCAGGCCATTGCTCAGTCCACTGAGCCATACTAGCCATGGCTGGAGAAGGTGTTTTAGTTTCATCAAATGCCATGAAAAAGATAAGTACTTCTAAAATTTCAAATACCATTTTGATACATGAGTAGACTTTTCTGGAGAGTTACTTGTTAAAGCAGCAGAGAGAGCTTAAAGTAGTGACAGTGAATAGTCATTGATTTTATCTCCGTCACCCCACTTGCCCCATTTGACACTGTCTGGAGACATTTTTAGTTGTCACAACTGTCATCTACTCAGGCATCCGTGCAATGCTCAGGACAGTTACTCACAAAAAAAGAATAACCTGACCCAAATGTCAATTTTGCTGTTGAGAAACCCTGCCTGTAGGATGAGCACTGAGGAGAGGCTGAGATTACCACGTGTACTCTTAATTCAGGAAGGCTTATTTGCCAAACTGTTGTTCTAGCCCTGGCCCATTCCCAGAATCTGTAGCAGGCACACGGATGCCATGCTGGTAATGCCCTTGGGGGCCCCTGAAAATCATAAACATAGGAAGGAGTGATTCAAGAAGGTAAAGCTGCAGAAGAGAAGTTTTAGGGAGAACAAAACTGTCCTCATGTATTTTAGAAGTGTGCCAGATTGAAAAGAGATGAGGTAAGCTGTGGGGTGTCCCCTGCCAGAGGTTAAAACTGGGACCAGTGGGTGACAGGGAGGCAGATTCTGAATTTGGTATAAAGAACTGCTGTAGCAACTGAAATCACCCAGATCTGTCTTGAGAGATTTGCATCACTGAAAAGTTCACACACATGCTGGATGATCACTGGTTGGTGACATATTAGAGGGTATTTGATATCAAAGATGCTCCAAGATACTGTAATTCTCTACTACTTTTATGATTCTAAGAACTCAGGGTTCCTAGTCTTTTAGCTAAAGAGCTCATTGAATGTCTGATCCAATAGGTTTCATTCATTTGTACCAAGCCAGAACAGATACATTGAAGAATGATTAGAAAAGAATAATACATAGGTATGAATTTGCATTTGGGTTTTGTTCAAATATTTAGGGCAGAGTAGTTGGTTAGTGGCTGCTTTCTCATCATGCCCAAGCCATTAGAATATGATTACCTCAAAATCTCACAGAGACTGGAGCCTGTCTTTGCCCATGATCCCTCATTTTTTCTTGTCAGTTCATCAGTTACCACTTAAGTGACTCTCCTGCAACTCACAGCAGACATTAACTTCTAGTTGTCATTGAGGTACATATTTTATAGCATAGTGCTTTAGAAATGAGAAGGATTTACTTATTGTGGAAAAAAATGTAAGCTTCTGGAAGTAGAGGCCTAACTTGGTGGTATTTTTCCCCAGGGCTCCATGGTAACTTACATGGCCTGTTTATTCCCTAAGTTTTAAAAACAGTTGTTCCTTGGATCTCAGATGGTAATGATACAGTCATTCATTTCTTGATTTATTTTTTTAAATCCTCACCCAGACCACATGCTTATTGATTCTAGTAAGAGGGGAAGGGAGGGAGAGAAACATTGATTAAGTTAATGATTAAGTTGCCCCTTATACATGCCCCAACTGGGGACCAAACCCATACCCAGGCATGTGCTTTGACTGGGAATCAAACTTTTGACCTTTTGGCTTATAGGATGACACTCCAACCAAATGTGCCACACTGGCCAGGGCAAGTTTGGGTGGGAGACTTTAAAAGAAGACCAGGGTGTCCTTGGCTGGTGTGGCTCAGTGGATTGAGTGCTGGCCTGTGAAACAAAGGGTCACCAGTTTGATTACCAGTCAGGGCACATGCCTGGGTTGCAGGCCAGGTCCCCAGTAGGGGGATGCATGAGAGTCAACCATACATTGATGTTTCTGTCCCTCTCTTTCTTCCTCCTTTCCCCTCTCTCTAAAAATAAAAAAAAAAAATTTAAAGAAGAAGACTAGATTGGCCAGTGCAGATGGGCGGGGGGGCGCGGGGAGGGGCTCAAGGTGAGGCTGGAGAGATGGGCGGGGACATGTGTTGCAGGGCTCCATGGGTGATTAGAGGGGTTTGGAATTTATCTTAAACTCAGTGGGAAGCCATTAAAAGGTCTAAATAGAGAAGTGGTTATTGTGAAGACAGTGGATAGGAGGAGGCAAGAGTAGATTTGGGGAAATCCAGTAGGAGACTGGCTTAGTGTGCAATGGTAGCAATGGAATGAAGCAAAGCAGGAGGATGGAAGTTATATTTTGAAAGTTATTTCAGGTGGAGTTAATGATGGATTGGATGTGAGAAATGGGGGGCATTGGTTCCAGGACCCCTGCAGATACCAAAATCCTTGTCCCCATATAAAACTAGGTAGTTCTTATATACAGCCTATATTTGCATATGGGCTGCAGCAGGGCGTGCCTACACATCACTCATGCCGATTCAGTGTAGTTAGTGCTTGACATGTAGCAAACTCAAATTTTGTATTGTGGAACTTTCTGGGATTTTTTCCCTGCTTATTTTTGATCTGTGGTTGGTCAAATTGGTGGATACGAAACTCACAATACAGAGGACCAACTGTACTGAATTTCCAACATACTATCTAATTTACTTGTTTGTTATGCCTTTTTTTTGCCTGTGCTCTCTAACTAGATTGAAAGCTCTACCAGAGCAGGAATTTTTGTCTGTCTTGTTCTTTAATGTATCCCCAAAGACTAAGATGGTGACTGGCACAGACTAGGCACTTAATAAATATTTATTGGATGAATGAGTGAACGTGTGTTATTTTTATGATCAGAGAAAAGGAAAATGAAGTACTGTATGTTGGAAGGAAGAAGGAAGGATTGCCCTGGATAATAGGAGAAATATTCTGCATTTGCATTTCTGACTCTTGTGTTCCCTGTCTTCAGGCTGGAGCAGAGGAGGGATGATTGTGAACAATCTCTCACTGTGCTACCACAACAAACTCATCTTAGCTCCTATGGTTCGGGTAGGGACTCTCCCAATGCGGCTGCTGGCCCTGGACTATGGAGCGGACATCGTGTACTGTGAGGTAAGGGGCTATTGATTTCCTTAGAGAGCTTTCCCGCAAGCGCAGTCTCCCTGTCTGTGGGTAGAAGTGGTCGTGGGAAGTGGGGGTGTGTAGCAGAATGGGCACTGACTTCGCAGGTGCTCACTGAAAGCATGAGGAGATGAATACACGTGACATGTATGAGCTCTGTGAGCCTTGCTGAGGACCAGCAGCCTGGGCAGCATGGAGGCAGTGTGGGGTACTTGGGTCAGGGGGATAGAGGAGTGTCGTGTCGGGTCCCTGTAGAATTTCATGCACATTCAGTACATGGATGCATGAACTCAACGGTATGAGGAGGAGGCAGAGGCCCAGATTCAGGTCAGGGAAGTCAGGTGAGATTGTTGTGGGGGAGCCATAGGATTTTCTGGTGATGGTAGCTAGTGGGCCACTTCCTTGCTGGCTGCTTGGGAGAATATCAGGCCTTCAGACCCAGGTTTAGAAGGCATCTGCTAGGAAAAACAGAATTGCAGGAGTAGCTGACCCCGGATAATGAGGGAGTATGAGCTGTGGTTCTCAACTGGGCACCTGTCAGAGTTATCTAGGCAGCTTCTCTTCAACCCCGTTATTATGAGCTACTGAAGTGCTTCTGATGGTTCTACCTTTAAAAGCCAATGGGGGTAGGGTGGGATGGAGTGGGAACTGTGGCTATAAAGGACAGTATTTTATTTTTAAAATAAGTTTATTGGGATGATATTGGTTAATAAAATATAATTTTCAAATGTACAGTTCTATGATACATCTTCTATACATTACATTGTTGAAAACCACTTAGAAACTTTATTTCTTTAATATGGCCTTTTCTCCTTTCCTTCCTTTTAATCAAACTGGCTTCATCCATCATCCTGTCACCTCCTTCCTCCTCCCTTGCACTCCCACTTCCTTAATCATTAAGCCCTCAGGACAGTGAGGTTCTGGTAGACATCAGATAATCTTGGGAATGAAGCCTGGGGCCTGTTGATTCCGGAGATAGAGTTTAGGTCAAACTAGAGATGTTGTCTAGGCCTCATTTGTGTTTCAGCTCCAGGCCATCTGTGACAGCAGATGAAGCAGCACCAGGACCCTAGATACAGTGATCAGCTGCCCCTGTCCTTGGACCCACCACTCAGTAGAGACCGTGACCCTAATGCCCTTAGTCACCATGACTCGGGATCTTCCCCTATAAAACCCATTTCCTGGAAGCCATTGGGGATCCAGGTCTTTAGCATTAGTTCACTTGTGTCTCTGGGCACAGGCCACTTCCTAAAAGTAGGTCCTTTTTTTGCTGCAAACTCCTGTTTGTGTCTTACTGGGCTTTGGCGACCACCAAGGTCCTGGAGGATGACTGAGTCTCAAGGGTGAGGCCTCTAGCTTTTTTCTTGTTGCCCCAGCTCCATCTCTGTCCAGCTGTCCCCTCCCCATGATCACTTGAAGACACAGAGTATATGGCATCCCTCTCCTCTCTATCTGTGCTTTGCATGCTCGCCATCAATTATCTGCTTACTCTGATGACTATTCTCTCCCAAGTCTTGTACCTTCAGTGAAAGTAAGAGTTGGTCCTTGCGCATTAGCCTTTATTTTTAGATTCAGTTATGCCCCCACCATCCTGCTGGTTTCTTCTGTTGGACCAAGTGGTAGTAAGGGATTCAGGCCTCTAGAACCGCCAGCTCACCTGGGCTCAAACCTTTTCTAGGGAGAGATTCTGGGGATTGCTTAAATTGAAGAAAAGGCAGCAGTGCCTGCATATCCAGCTCCCTTGGATTTCACTTTTTCTGTGCAGGTAGCATTTTTCTGGGACCTAGAAGGTGGGGTTGATTCACCCGGAGGGGTGTGGAGTGAAACACTAGGATGGAGTGACTGGCTGCACTGTAGCACAGGGCCGTTCTAGGTAGCACCGTGTATGTGTGTGTGTGTGTGTGGCCCTGGGGGAGTGGTCTGTGTGACGGGGTCATGGAAGCTCTTGGAATGTCTTAGGGTTGTTTTCAAACACTTTAAGTCTTGGGCACAGGATTTGTGTGATGGCTTCAGAACATGACCTTCCTTTCCTCCAGGGCCTTTCTAATTGGTCAGAGCTTGGCTTTCCTAATGAATGTGACCAATCCTTTCTTCAAGGGCTCTGCCAAGTTAGGAGAAGAGGAAAGACTGATCAAACTATTCCATGTTTGATGTGCTCATACTCTGGAAGAGCCCATATGGCTTCCAAACAAAGGCTTCTGGTTGAGGAGACCTAGGTCCCCCACACAGACGGAGCTTCTGTGCAGAGCAGAAGCAGGAGACAGGCAGGCTGCCCCTGTTCGGTGGGGTTCCTTGGCTGGGCCCTAAGTACTGGGCAGGACATGGTGCGGTGCCTGGTGCCCCCTGGTGGATTCAGAGTTCCTCTGCAGGCCAACGTTATTGTATAGTATCAGCTGCCTGGATGATCTTAACTGGTTTCTCGTGGGGAGACCCGACTGGGTATGGGACAGAGGGAATACCAGGCATCCAGGCACCTCCTTCAGAGCCCTGTGAAGCCCTCTGCAGCTGGAGGTGAAGAAAGGATGAACCACCTCAGCAAAAGTCAAGGGAGCTGTAGTCTCATTCCCCACCGAGATCTGCCCTGTTGGCGGTTTTTCAGGAGTTCCTTGTGTATTGTGTTTCTGTTCCTTTTTATAAGAACGAGGGGACTTCAGTCGCCCAGACTATGAGGGGACACTTACCTGTTGGACCCACACCTGTTAATAGCAGGATCCAGGGAGAAGGCAGTGTTCTTCAGAGACCCAGGTTACTAGAATAGGTAATTAAAACTTTTTACTTTTATTGTGGTGAAAATACATCACACAGTTTATCATGTTAACTATTTTTATTTAAAAGTTTTTTATCCTCACCTGAGGACATTTTTTCATGCTTTTAGAGAGAGAGAGGAAGGAAGAGCGAGAGAAACATCAATGTGAGGCAGAAACGTTGATCCGGGAATTGTACGCGCCAGGAGGGGATTGAGCCGCCGCCTTGGTTTGCGCTCCATCTGGGGATTGAACCTGCAACCTTTTGGTTACAGGATGATGCTCCAACCAACTGAGCCACATCAGCCAGGGCTATCATGGTACCTACCTATGTTTAAGTGTAGCGTTTAAGTTCAGTAGTGTTAAGTTCATTCACATTATTGTAAAATGGATCTCCAGAAACTCTGTACCCTTTAAACAGTTCCCTGTTACCACCTCCCCTCAAGCCCTGGAAACCACCATTCAACTTCAGAAACTGCGTACAAATGGCCATATGCAGTATTTACCTTTTTGTGACTGGGTATTCACTTAGCAAAGTGTCCTCAACATTCATCCACGTCGTTGTTTGTGACAGGATTTCCTTCTATTTTTAGGCTGAATAATCTATTTTATGTATATAATACATTTTGTTTATCCATCCGTTGATGGACATTTGGGATGTTTCCACCTCCTAGCTACTGCGAACAGTGCTTTTGTGAATATTGGTGTGAATTCCACTATTTTGAGACCCCGTTTTTAATTCTTTTGAACATATAGCCAGAAGTGTGATTGCTAGATCATATAGTATTTCTACTTCTATGCTTTTGAGGAATTCATACTGGTTTGCACAATTCTCCACATCCTTGCTAACACTCATTATTTTCTGGTTTGTTTTTTTAAAGGTTCTTATTTATTTATTTTTAGAGAGGGGGGGAAGGGAAGGAAAAAGAGGAAGAGAAACATCAGTGTCATTGCCTTTCATGTGCCCCCTACTGAGGATCTGGCCCACAACCCAGGCATGTGCCTAAACTGGGAATCGAACTGGCGACCTTTTGGCTTGCAGACTGGCCCTCAATCCACTGAGTCACACCAGCCAGGGCAGGCCATTCTTCTATATGGCTATTATACAAACATTATCTTCAGCGAATTTAACATGATACAATATTTTTTCTACTGGAATTTACCCTCCATATTCCAGTTTTTTCTACTGGAATTTACCTTCCATATTCCAGTTTTGTCAGTTGGCCAGAAATATTCCTCTAAACATTTATAAACATCTTTTTTTGAGCTATGGTTCAGATATCATATAATTAACCAATTTGAAGTGTGCAATTCAATAGCTAATAGTATATCAACAGGGTTCTGTGTCCATTACCACAGTCATTTTTTTAATTTTAAAAAATTTATTGATTGATTTTTTAGAGAGAGAGAAACATCGATTTGTTGTTCCACTTATTTCTGCATGCATTGGTTGATTCTTGTAGTTGCCCTGCCTGGGGATCAAACCTGCAACCTTGATGTATCTGGATGAAGCTTCAACCAGCTGAGCTCCCCAACCAGGGCACGCCATCAATTTTGAGCCCTTTCATCATACCAGAAAGAAACATATTAGCAATCGCTGCCCAGTTTCCCCATCTCCAGTCCCTGGCAGCTATTAATCTATGTTCTGTCTTCATAGGTTTGCTTGTTTTGGACATTTCCTATAAATAGAATCATACAATAAGAGGCTTTTTATGTCTCATTTCTTTCACTTAGCGTGTTTTCAAGGTTCATTCCTGTCATAGCGTATATCAGTACTTCATCCTTTTAATGGCCGAATAAGAGTCCGTGATTTGTGTGTGTGCAACACAATTTGTTTATTCGTTCATCAGTTAGTAATCGTTTAGATAGTTTCTGCCTTTTGGCTGTTGTGAAACATGTTACATGAATATTCATGTACAAGTTTTTGTGTGGATATGTATTTTCACTTCTCTTGGATGTACACCTGGGAGTGGAATTGCTAGGTCCTGTGGTAATTCCGTATTTAACCACTTGAGAAACCAGCGTTTTTTTTTTAATTTTTTAAAAAATATTTTATTTATTTTTATACAGAGGGGAAGGGAAGGAGAAAGAGAGGGAAACATCAATGTGTGGTTGCTTCTCATGCACCCCCTACTGGGGACCTGGCCTGCAACCCAGGCATGTGACCTGACTTGGAATTGAACTAGCGACCATTTGGTTTGCAGGCTGGTGCTCAACCCACTGAGCCACACCAGTCAGGGCGCCAGCAGCCTGTTTTGGAAGCAGTTGCGCCATGTTCCATCCTCACCAGCAGTGTGTGAAGGTTCATTCTTCCACATCCTTGCCAACACGTGTTATTACTTGTCTTTTGGATTATAGTCATCCTGGTGGGTGTGAAGTGGTATCTCATCATGATTTTGACTTGCCTTTCCCTAATGATTCATGGTGTTGAGCATCTTTTCTCATGTTTATTGATTATTTTTATATTATCTTTGAGAAATGTCTATTTAAGTCCTATGCTCATTTTTTAAACTGGGTTATTTGTCTTTCTATTCTGACCATTGTAAGAGCTCTATATGTCTGGATACTAGACCTATATCAGATATGATTTGCCAGTGTTTCCTCCCAGTCTGTGGGTTGTCTTTTCACTTTATTGATAGTATCCTTGATGCATTTTATTTGCATGTATGTATTACGTGTCTAGGAAAAGAATCCCAGGATTTTTCCTCGTATGTTTGCATCTTCTTCATGGCCCGTGATGCCCACTGAGGTTGTCAGTACAATGAAACCAAACTGATGGGACGGGAGAGGATCTCCGAGCTGCACATCAAACCCAGGGCTGATCGCTGCACACTTGTTTACCCTGCCCAGGAGGTTCACAACAATTTCCCCAGCTCTGTGATCATCAGTAATTTCAGATTCGCCAGTGTAACCATGCCCCATCATCACAGTGAGAAACTGGGTGATGACTTTGGAGCATTTGCCTCTCTTTTTGGTACCGTCGATACTCTTTAGAGTATCAGCCAGGCCATTCATGCACAGCAGTGTGAGGGCACAGAAGGATGGTGGAGAGAGCTCATTGTACAAGTCTTTCACTTCCTTGTCTTCTGGCCTGGATGGTTTCCCATGAGAAATCTTGTTGAGGATCCTTTGTACGTGGTAAACCGTGACTTTCTTAGGTTTTCATTGTTCTCTTTCTTCGACTTTCAGCAGTTTGGTTATGATGCGTCTAGGTATGGCTCTCTTGGAGTTTCCTGCTTAAGGTTTGTTGAGCTTCTGGGATGTATGGAGTAATTTTTAAAAAATCAAATTTGGGGATTTTTTCCCCCTTTTTGCCATTATTTGTTCAAATGTGCTTTCTATCCCTTTGAGACTCTCATTCATTTTGTCAATCTTGCTAATGGGTTAACTCAGACAGAGAAAGCAAGCCAGTGGAATGAAGGAGGTGAAGGTAGCAGGATGTGTTTGAGGTATCAACATAACTCATGACAGATAAGGAAGTCCATACGTGATAAGGCACTTTAAAATTAAATGCTATTCAGAACATTGGGTAGCTGTGTGAAGAAAAAGTGACTTATAAAGGACCTTAATTTTCAGATAAGTTAAAAAGCTAAATCACTTTCACCCTGGCTGGTGTGGCTCAGTGGATTGAGTGCTGGCCTGCGAACCAAAGGGATATCGGTTCAATTCTTAGTCTAGGGCACATGCCTGGGTTGTGGGCCAGGTCCCCAGTAGGGGGCATGTGAGAGGCAACCACACATTGATGCTTTTCTCACTTTCTCCCTCCTTTCCATTCTGTCTAAAATAAATCAATAAAATCTTTTAAAAAAAGCGAAATCACTTTCAAAAAGAAAAATAATTAAAATTATATTCTTTGTAATAGATATATTAAGAAACTAGAAGGCATTGTTTGTGGCAAAGTTGGGGTTGTCTCCTATAAAAACAAAATGTTAATTATAAAAATCAAGGAAGCAATATTAATATAGGAAAAATATTTGTGATAATTGAGACAGAAAACTTCAAACCAGTTTGGCAAAGAACAGGCTTCTTTCTCCCCTGCACGTTTTGTGTAGGTGTAAAAGGCAATTTGCCATGAAGATACACAGATGAAAATCTCCAACACGTGGACAATGTTTATTTTCACTAATTGAGGAAATACACTAGGAAAAAAAAGCTGTGTACCCACACAATGAATAAAGTTGGTTAACACTAGTGCTGAGGGTATGTGGATGGGCAGGAGCACTTGTGGTTTTTACTGGGGACAGTTTCAATTAATTTTTCCATTTAACAAACAGTCGGACAGCTGTGTGTAAGGTGTCGAAGCAGGCTGCAGGGGGTGTTTACTGAGCACTTGCAACATGGTAGGTGCTAGTGATTCAAAGGTGAATTGGACTGTGTCCAGACCCCAAAGGCTCTGCCGGTGTAGGGAGGCGTCGGAGAGGAAGACAAGGCATTTCGAGGGCCATTTTGTGTCAGCTCCCCCTTTTGGGGCTCAGGCTACCTGGCCAGGGTCCTCCAAGCCCACCTTTGTGGGGACATAGGACCTTATTCAGGGGGTTCAGAGTCTGATGGCAAGGATATGACAGGTGCATCTGCAACTAGTATAGAAAGAAGAAGTGGTAAGGTCTATGAAGGTGAACTTGACAGGGAGCTTTGGGAATCCCAAGGAGGACAGGTTCCTGCTGGCACGTCCAGGACCCCAGCAAGGGCTTGCGTTGCTTTACACTGCTTGTTCCCAGTCAGAGCTCTGCCGGGCAGCAGAGCTGCTTTTTGTAAGCATAGGCCACCCAATACTGCACATGCTTTCTTGCGCCTGCTTCGGCAGCTAGGGTCACTGGTTACAGGGCCTCTCTGTCAGGCTCCATCCATCCCTTGGGGCTGGGGGCTTGGTTGCCAGCCATGCATCTGTACAGCTTAGAGGTGGTGATTTTTTGGTTGGGCCTGGTGGGCATCAGATACGTGATGACCTGAATGCAACATGGAGAGAATAGCCACAGAAGCCCCCTGAATGTGTAGTAACCTGGATCATGGGTATGCTGGGAGCAGCCCCATGGGTGCCATCGGACCCTTTGACACTTGAGCCCTACATGCTCCCATGAAGGAGCAAAGGCCATTGTGCCCACTGGCTGGGTTGTGACTTGCCGAGGCTCCTAAGGAGTCAGTGTGAGGATGAGCACCAGGGCTGAGTTTCTTCCCATCTTCCTCTGGTCCCCCAGAATCCTGGGCTTGAGCTTCCGATTTGGCTTCCACGTCTGTTGAAATGATCACTGCACAAAGCAGAACCGTGTGTTTCCTACCAGCACTCAGTCCTTTGGGAGACATGAGCTTTCCCTCCTTGGTTATGATCCTGATTTTGAAGAAGCCGCATTTTTCTTTCTTTTGTGAGTCTGAGTGTCTCCAGAGCTGAGGATCTCACCGCTTTTGTTTCCACACAGTGCAGCCCATGTAGAAGATGAGTTTTAGACTTTTCTTTCCTGTGCTGATCTCAAATTTTCCTCCCTGTGCTTCTGGTTCTACTTTGGTCCTTGGACATTTCCCAGGATGAGGCGGAAGGTTCTTAGAGAGGATGGACTGGAGCTGAGACTAGTAGGCGAGGAAGGCATCCAGGTGTCCACATCCTGGACTCTTGTCTGCACTCTGGCTCCCTGAGCTGCTCACCCTTTCTAGGCCCCAAATATCTCCAAGGACCTTGGGAAGAGCAACTGATTGAGGGAAGCTCATTCAGGTCCCTGCTTACCATGCTTAAGTGAGGAGGACAGCACTACATGTCCCAAAAGCCATGATTTGTTGTTGGTAGTAGGGTGACAGGCCAAGAAGCCCCCATTGGATGTGCAGTGAAGGTCCTCCCCCAGGGCCTGCATGCTCTGGACTGACAAGTGCCCTCCGGTTCCTCCACAGGAGCTGATCGACCTCAAGATGCTTCAGTGCAAGAGAGTTGTCAATGGTGAGTGCCACTGTGGTCCCAGGGTTGAGTTTGTGCCCAGGCAGAACCGAGCCGAGTTATCACTGCCCTTGGCCATGGTGACAGGGTCCTCCCGGGGTTCTCCTTGCCTGGCTCTGTAATTTTGTGGATCCCGTGTTCCTTTGACAATAGCCGCAGCTCTCCAGAGACCCTGACAAGAGCAGGATGTAAAACAGAGTAAGAACACCTTGCACCCCCAGGCTCGCTGGCATAGAAGCTGCCAGGTTTCATAGTACAGGAAGGACCCTAGAAGCCTTGGGGTTGAGATGGCATTGGCGCTGGTTATGGTTCTGCCACTTGCTAGCTGTGTGACCGTGATCAAGTCACATGATCCCGTGACCTGTCTGCCTCAGTTTCTTTAGCTGTAAAATGAAAATCATAATCCCTGCTTAAATCACAGGGTTGGAGTCCTAAGACAGTAAGGTATGTGTAAGTACTTTGCACATGAAAGTAGTTGTACTGAATTGTGATTTTGTTTATATTTTATTGATGAAGCTAATTCTGCATTGATTACAGTTGTGGTATTGTTTGAGGTTTTTGAAATGGATATACATTTGTCAGATCTTAATGTAAGTTCACTAGAAGTTGTGACTCAATTATCTTTCATTGTTTTAGGTTCATATTTTCTGTGTTACAGAAAATTCAGTGTGACAGACCTTTGCCACCTAGAAAATGAAAATCCCCCCTAATCTTGTACTTGAAGAGCCAGTCACAAAGAGGAATAATGTACTGGTATATAGATTTTCACGCATTCAGTAGAGCACGTGTGTAAAAATATAATGTGTTTGTATATCTCCCTTCCTGCCCCCTGGGTATTGGGCCACATGTGTTTCGCCAGTTACTTTTCTACTAGGACATTTTTCTGTGTCGCTGCTTATGGATGACGGTGTCAGAATTGATCTCAGCAGTGTTTTCGCAGGGGTGTTCAAATTTTGCTGTTACAAGTAAATACAGCTCCAGTGTAAACGCACGGAGCTTTCATTCCCCTCTCAGACTTCCTGCTGCTAGTCAGGCGCTGTCTCTGCTGCTCCAGATTGCTTTGTTCATCTCTCCCAGCATGTCACTGCCTTCAGTCCACCCTTTTGATCTTCTCATCGGTTCAGTGCTGGGAGGATAATAACAGCTTCTATTTATGGAAGTGCTTTAACACCATATGAGTGAATACTGAACCATTGCTCTAGGAGAAATACAGGCATACGTCATTTTATTGCACTTTGTACATACTGTGTTTTTCACCATCTGAAGGTTTGTGGCAACTCCATGTTGAGCAAGGCAATTGGCACTGTTTTTCCAATGGGCTCAGGTGATAGTTAACTTATTTTTACAAAAAAATTTTTTTAATTAAGGTATCTACATTTTTTTAGACATAGTGCTATAGAATACCTAGTAGACTATAGTATGAACATAGCTTTCTCATGCACTGGGAAACCAAAACATTTGCATGACTGACCTTAACTGCGACATTTACTTTTTTGTGGTGGTCTGGAACTGAACCTGCAGTATCTCGGAGGTCTGCCCGTACAGGTGTACATCCCTGCAGACCTCCGGTCACACATGGTTTTTAACGGATCATTATGTATAATCTTCTTCTATGTGTGCTTCTGTTTAAAGATGTAATTTACTATATTCCATTGACTCATTAACATAGAACTCAGAGCCAGCAGCTCTGTGTATAATTTCGCGTCTGCACGTGTTTCATGTTTGACACATGGATTTTCTCCATAAGGCACATCGCAGCCTTCTTGTGCACAGGGCACTGGGCAGCACTTTGGTGTGCGTGGGGCCATTTAAAACAGATTACCCACAAAAAGGCAAAGATGCGGCATTAATGTACCATCAAAAAGGCACTTGTTTACAGTGTAAGAGCTGAAGCAAGGAGACAGAGTGTTGCCTTGTTCGACTCTGGCTGGGAACCTGTACATTAGGTGACCAGAATTTTCTGTATGTTTGAGAATTTTCTATATGTCATTCTCTGCATGTCCGAGAATGACAATGTAAGTGTCGTGAGTATGGGTTACAAATGCACTTCAGCGAGCAGGCAAATCTGCAGATACACACTGTCAAATCGTAAGAATCAACTGTAGTATAGTAAATACTCCACTCACAGTCCTGCACCTGACAAGTCATTAAGAAACAGCAACTCTGCCGAACTTCACAGTGAGTCTGGGAAAACTGGGTCAAAATCAGACAAGGTGCTCTATATGCATTTAAAAATTTTTTAAATATATTTTGAAATGATGATCTATATGCACATTTAAAAAAATCTTTTAAAATTGCAAAATGAAGCCCTGGCCGGGCGACTCAGTTAGTTGGAGCATCATCTCATGCACCAAAAGTTGTGGGTTTGATCCCTGGTCAGGGCACATACCTGGGTTGCAGGTTCTATTCCTGGTCGGGGCACATACGGGAGACAACCGATCAGTGTTTCTCTCTCACTGGGATGTTTCTCTCTCTCCCTTCCTTTGTCTATACAAATCAGTAAACATATCCTCAGGTGAGGATTAATAATAAATAGGGAAATAAATAAATAAAATTGCAAACTCTAATAGCCGTACAGAGAAATTACGTAAAACACAAGCATACAGTTTAACAGATAACTGAGACAAACAACCATGTAACTAGCCACCACCGGGTCAGGAAATAGAACATCGTCAGCCCCTTAGAGGTCTCTCATGTGCACACTGATTTCTTTTAAGAATAGTCTACTTCCATTACCCTTTTTTTCCCTTTAAGCTGATACTTTTGCTCTGTTTTCTTGCCGGGATTAGTCTAGGTGAACTTGCTTACTTAGTGGGTGTGCCTGTGTGTGTGTTTTCTTGCAGAGGTGCTCAGCACAGTGGACTTTGTTGCCCCGGATGATCGAGTCATTTTCCGCACCTGCAAAAGAGAGCAGAGCAGGGTCGTCTTCCAGATGGTACGACTGCCCAGGCCCGACCTGTTGCCTGGATTTGCCGTCGCACGCCCTGACCCGGGCCAGTGTGGAATGCCTGGGCTTCAGTGCACAGCGGTAGCTTCCTGAATTTTTCAAATTCAGGACATTTTTCAAAGATCTGCTCATGAGTGATTACACTATTGGAGAGACTTTATGGAAATCAGGCTATAGTAGCCTGTTACACGTCTTCCATCTCAAATTTAATATTCTTAATTATAGGAGTTCTCTGTTTGGCATGACTTACATGTTTTTAATCCCTAGCATTTGTTATTCAGATCAAGGTCTTTGTTTTATTTTGTAGTCTGTATATATCTCCCACATAGAGAAATCAGGTTTGCTCAAGAGTAGTTAATATTTATGTCAGGGTTGTAATGACTCTGTAGTTCTCTTCTCTCACTTTGGGCATTTCTTGGTGCTTTTCAGAATAGCTCCTGCATTAGACTTTTAAAAATTGACAACAATGGGTAGATATATGATAAAACAAATACAGCAAAATGTTCATTACAGATTCTAAGTGGTGGGTATATGATTTCAACTGTTTACTGTAAAAATTTTTCATTGTTCTCATATGTTTGAAAGTAATCGTAGCATTGATGGCATTTTGACATTTTCTGGGCCCTCCCATCCACTTCTGGCCTTTGACAGAGGGCTAGTCTAGTGGACTGGATGTTTAAGAGACACCAGCTGGACTCTGCTTGCTGACATGTGTGCACATGGTGTGCATGGGTGTGTTTGCCTGTGCGTGTGTACGCGTGTCAGGGTGGTGGTTGAGGCAGCGTTTTGTGTTCCCAGGGGACTTCGGACGCAGAGCGAGCCCTCGCCGTGGCCAGACTTGTGTAAGTTCTTCCCTCTTTGGAACTACCTTCGTCTCTCCTGTTGGCTCTGGGGCCTCACTGTTCCTCGTGATGTTGGAGGTGACCACCCTTTCTGCCTTCTAGTTCACTACCTTCTGTTCCTTTCCTAGTTTCCTTCTCTGCGGTGTTCAAGGGTGCCCCGGGCCTCTCGTGTACCCCCTGTGCCCAGATCCCAGATAATCTCTGTCTGGGTGCCTGTTGTTCAGTGTTTACTTTCTTTCCAAGGACTCTTGTGACCATGAGCCCTGAGGTTTTGAATCTCATGAAGTGTAGGTTAGACTTACTGCTTCCTAAATTAACAAAGTTAGGAGAGTGTTGTGGTTACAGAGTTAGATGAACCTGGGTTGTAATTTTGGCTGTGGCTTTGCTACTTGTTAACCATGTGACCTTAGGTAACCTTGCTGAGAACTTAAGTTTCCTCATCTACAGAGTGAGACCAATAGTATTACCTACCTCTGGCATTATAGGGAAAGGTCAGTGAAATAACGCACGGGACTGTCTTTGCAGTGTGGCACATAGTGAGTGCTTAGTAAGTCGTCGCTGTTGTTTTCGGTTACAGTGAGGGCAAGAAGGCACTCACACGGTAGTTGCTGCTGAATCACAGCCTGTGAACTGTGTATGCTCCAGAAGATGGGGTCAGGGTCCTTTCTGCATCTGGGAACTGTTTGGAGTAAGCCAACTGTGTGACCTACCCAGGAAAGGCAGTCTTGTATCTCCCACCAGAACTGGTGCTCTGGCTGAGGGTCTCATGCTCATGTCACTTTTCAGCATGGACAGATGGCCTTCACTGCCCCAGTCAGAACCGGAACTCTGGGAGCACGTTCAGTGTGACTTCACTCATTATTTGAGCCATCTGACATAAGTCCAAAGTAGCAAAGTCCTCGACAGCTAGCTCTTTGTAAATGTGTGAGCACCTTATTCCATGTGTCTTGAGCTTTGCTCTGCAGAGGCAGTTGTACATCTGAGAGTAGGTTTTTTTTCAGCTTCTGACACTGAGGGTCGGTGTATTTTGGGGCCAGGGATGTGGAGAGGGATTCACGAGCACAGGCCCATGCCTTTGACTCCACCTTCTCTCCTCACATTGAACATTTACTGATACCTTTTCCACTTCATGTCCTTCCAGAGAAAATGACGTGGCTGGAATTGATGTCAACATGGGCTGTCCAAAAGAGTATTCCACCAAGGTAAACTGCGTCCTTCATACCCCCTTAAGATACAGGTGCGGATTAAAGAGCAACAGTGAGACATTACTACTAAGTGCAGTGCCTGACTCCTGTACTGTGTGGGGAGATGCTCACGTGGATATTATTAGATCAGTGGGTGAAATTGGGAGTGTGGACCACAGTAGATTAGCTAAAAATACTGGATCAGTGTAAACCGATGAAGTTAACAGCTCTTCAGTTTTGTAAGAATATCCCTATCCTTAGAAAATACACACTAAAATATATTGGGGTCAGAGGCTATGATATATGTAACTTTTCCCTCAAATGGTTGAGGAAAAAGTTTATATACACATACATACATACATAAACATACACACAGAACACTATGCCCATTTGTTTTAAGTGATGTAAATATTAAAAGAAAAAGTAACATGAACAGGGCTTTGTCTTTTCATGAATAACACCAAGACATAACATCTTTTTCAAAGTAGAGGATGTGACCCTGGCCAGTGTGGTTCAGTGGTGGGAGCTTTGTGCTGTAACCGAAGGGTTGTGGGTTCAATTTCTGGTCAGGGCACATACCTGGATTGTGGGTTTGCTCTCCAGTCTGGGCGTGTATGGAAGGCAGCCAATCAGAGCTTCTCTCTTGCATTGATGTTTTACTTTCTTCCTCTCTCCGTTCATCTCTCTCTAAAAGGAATGAAAAAAATGTCCTTGGGTGAGGCTTAAAAATAAATAAATAAATAAATAAAAATAGAGGATGCAAAATATATCCCCATTTTCATATCAGAAGCTCAGACCAGAGTAGTAGGATAGCTCAGAAAGGAGCTGAGGGACAGCACTTAAACTCGGGATTTTCTAGAGAAATGTGGTCCTCTGTGAAGGGGTGTGGGACCCTGCAGGCAGAAGGCGTGCAGTGCAGAGCTTAGGTGCCAACGTGAAGTGCGAGGCAGAGAACCTTGATGCGACCAGAGGGTTGGAGAGTGGAGGTGATGAGGAAACAGAGGGATGCAGGACTGAAAATCTTGGGTGGGACCAGAGTAGCTGCATCCAGATCTTCAGTATCTCTGGCCTTTTGTGAACAGAAAGGCATGTGATCAGAAACTTAGTTTCTTTCCCCAGGGGAACCAGGGTTGCTAATTTCTTGTGTGTCTTTCCAAATACATTCTATAAGTGGAAATGCTAATCTGGGAGCCATGTGTCTTGTGGATTGAAGTGGAAAGAGGCTAGAGGTGGGGACGTAGACGTAGGAGGTGAGTGTTGTGGGTCCATAGGAAAGACTAGGGGGATAGAGAGAGGAGAAGGCCAGCATTTGCCAGGACTTGGCTGGCAGATGATTGGCCTGGGCGTGGGGACGTGGGGGGAGTGGTGGGGGTAGAGAAAGGAGAGACTGGCAGCCAGGAGGACTGTGGGTCTTCAACGTTGGGAGGACTGCCAGAGGAAAAGCATGTTTGGAGCAGATTACGAGCACAGCTTGGGGCTGGGTGTGTGGGAGACACCAGAGGGAATTCTGCAGGGCTGCCCCTGGGAACCTTATTGGAGAGTGTGTAGTGTAGGCCTAGCAGATGTCCCCCCAGGCCCACTGCCCAAAGTCAGCCACTTGGTTTTCAGCAGTTACGTGGCCTGGGGATCTTTCCTTTCAGCCAGGAGGCTGAAGACCGCCTGAGGAAAAGGCTCTTGGGGCTCTTGAAACCCAGAAGGCCTGTGGGCAGCTGCTTCGAGGAATTGGGGAGATTTGAAATTGTCTGTGGGAACCTGCAAATTTTGCACTCTGTTAGCTGTTTTCAACTTACCTCTTTGTGTTTGTGATTATGTAAGGAGCAAAATTGAAATTACTGGAATAATCTCCCTGAGTTCGTGGAGTGAAGAAAAGCAAAGGGCAGAATTGTATACGGTGTATTGCCATTTATGTGTGGGGGATGGGAAATGAATCTTAACATGCATTTACCTTTCTCTTCATAGAACACATTTAGAAAGACTCACAAGAAACTAGTAACACTGGTTTCCCCTAGGGAAGGAAACCAAGTTTTTACGTGGTTCTGCACAGGGATTAAATTCCCTCTGCCAGGGAGCTACTCAAAACAGTTAACAACTAGCACAGCGCCGGCACCGACCGGTCGGAACAGAAACTTAGCAGTGTGCTGCGCCGGTGCACACCGTCTGGGTGTTGGCTCCCTTCTGGCGGCTCCGAAACCGGAGCCATATGAAAAGTATAAATTGAAAAGCTTTCCATTCCTCAGGGAGGGAGAGTTCTTACTTTTTACTCTTTTGAATCTTAAAAAATGTTCATGTGTTACCTATTCAAAAAAGCAAATAAATAAGTTAAATAGAAAGAAAGGAAGGAAATACCATCGAGAAAGCCATTGTTGTGGAAGGGGCAGTGAGACTGTATTTTTTTCATAAAAGTAATTATTTTTTTACAGAGGGGAGGGAGAAAGAAAGGGAGAGAAACATCACTGCATGAGAGAGACATACTGGTTGCCTCTTGCACACCTCCAGCTGGGGATCTGGCCTGAACCCCAGGCATGTGCCCGGACAGGGAATTGAACTGGCAGCCTTTCTGTCCGCAGGCCAGCGCTCAGTCCACTGAGCTGCACCAGCCAGGGCGAGACTGTATTTTAGAGCCTGTGATTCCACAAGGAAGGGCTGAATTGTGTGTGAGCTGAAGGCCAGATGGATCTGGGGTGTGGCCAGAGTTTCCTTAACGCCTCTAAGCAGGTTTATATCTGTGACCAGGGCTAGTCCCCTTCTGCCCTTCCTATTTTCCTCTGACATGCAGGCTCAGGCTGGCTGAGTCGGTGGTGGGTCAGTATTCCCTCCGATTCTAATCTGTCATCCTTTAAAACAGGTAACCCCTGAACTTAGACCGTCTGAGCACAGACTGTGAGCATTTACTAGTACGCAGTCTACACGTGCTGACAGCATGTATTTATTGGATTTGTTTCTCTCCCCTTCATGTCACTCTTAACGGGTTCAGAGTTTTAACGCCTGTCCCCACCCCATTATTAAAATGCCATGGCATTGTCCAGAACTTGGATAGTTTAAAAGTACAAAAAAGAGTGGGAAGATTACCAATAATCTCACCATCGAGAGATACCCTGTTGTTAAAGTGAAGATTCACGTGGTTCCGTGGGCTGTTGGTATCCCTTAGCTGGGGCTTTGTTAGTGTTTGGCATCTGTCTGGGTGCTCAGGGTCGGGCTGGTGTTGCTGTCAGGGGAGAAAGGGCTGGAGAAAGTCTGCAGGTCGCATGTCCCTGAGTGGCTTTGCTGACGGTGGCAGCACTAAAGCAAGTGATAGTAGGATAGGAAGAAGGTGCATTTGCTTTCATTTCAACAGAAGAGTGTTTCATTATTACTATGTTTTTTTTTAAGGGCTTGGCAGATGGGTTTAGTTTATTAAGACACTGATACTCTAGGTAGGGAATGGGCAGTCCTGAAACATTATTTTTGTAGAACCTGCTTCTACATAGATCTGTAGCCTTTGCTAAGTCATCACTATTAGAATTCATCAGACTCTGATCCCTGTTTTTGTGGGTAGGGCACTGCCACTTTCCTACTCGTTTAGGAGACCTGACGATTGCCAGTGGACCTTGGTCCCTTGGAGACATGTGCTGGGGTGCTGGCAGGTTGCCACACCATGTTGCCATGTCATGGGGAGGGGCTACCTCTCTCCAGCTGTAAGAAGCCCCTCTGTGTGCTTTCCTTAGGGAGGAATGGGAGCTGCTCTGCTGTCAGATCCTGACAAGATCGAGAAGGTAAGTCCTATGGAGTGAAAGCAGAGGTCCTTAAACATGGCACATTTGCCTCTCCCCTTTCCAGATTTAGTGAATCAGGCCCTGCACCGGGGGTCTGGGAAATTAGTAAAAGGCTTCTTGGTGATTTTGACATGCAGCCAAGTTCAGTAACCCCTGAGCCAGCCTACAATTGACTTGGAGTTCCTTAAAAGCCCAGGGCTGGGGTGGAGAGCAGTGGGGGGGCCAGACTCATTTAGAGACTCCTCTCCCTGTATTGCCCCTCTCCCTTCTGAGAAGATCATGGGTGTGGACAGGCTCAGTGGCTATGGAGGTGGGTTGGGGAGGGTCGGCCCCTCCTGGGGGCTTGATGAGTGCGGCAGTGGGGCCCCAAGTGCTGCTGTACTCCACCACCAGCCTTTGAGAGCAGGCCAGGTCAGGGTCATACGAGGCAAGTGAATTTAGTCTCCTCTGAGCCCATCCCTCAATGATTCTGGTGGCCAGGTTTATGAGGCTCTGGGCACAGGTTGCCATTTTGCCACCCAATATTGTGAGCTGTCAGGGCACGTGGGGATGTCATTTTCTGCTACACCACTGACACCTTTTACTTTCCTCTCAGTCTATCAGCTCTCTTCTTGTCGCTCTTCTTAGCTCCTTTGACGTCCTTTTCATTCTCTAGCCCCACTTCCCTGCTTGGTGTTAAGTCTCCTAGTGCCTCCCACAGGCTACATACGGTGACTCGGGATAAAGCATCACCAGTAAAAGCTGCCGCTGTTTGTGCTGGGTGCTGTGTTGGCAGGTCGTCCTGCGCGTCCTTCTAGCCCCACTGTCTCTGGGATACAGGAAGGCCAGTGTGTTTATGAGCTAGGTGCCTTCTCATTTTCCCCATGTGCAGGTAGGTACATATAATGCGTCTGTAATGTATCCTTAGTGTTTGTAGAATACTTTCCAAAGGATATTCCAGCATTTATTCCATTTATTCTCCAGATCCCTTGAAGTAGACAGGGAAGGCATTTATTATTTTCATTTATTCAAGAATAATAAAACTAAAGCACAGAGAGGGAAAAATAATTTGCTCAAGATCATGTAGCAAAAAAGCGGGCAGAGCTAAGCCTAAAGCCATGGTCCTGTGGCCTCTACCCTAGCATCAGCGGCCCCTCGAGATGGCATCTGAGGTTAAAGGTGTCAGGTGTAGTTTATAAGCGTCTCGCCCTAAGTGTAGTGCCTGGACTTAGGAACCTCCAGTCGGACACCTCTCTGCAGGGTGGAGTGGTTGTGAACAACTGTGGATGTCAAACGTATTACCGTACTTAGGCGAGGGCCCCCCCTAGGGGGTCTTTTCTTTCTGTCATTGCACACAGGCATTTCTGTTATGCTCTGGCCTCCTGGCTTCTCCCATTCATTCCGTTGGCTCTGTCCTCTCATGGCCCCTCTTTGGGTGCATTTTACGTGTGAGGCTCAGTTCATTCTCTTCCTTCTCTGTTTGGAGGGATGGTTGGGTGGGCCAGGCAGGCTGGTGGATGGGGTTTGCCTCATGGAGGGGAGGTTCCAGGGATCCACAGTAGAGCCAAAGGGGGCTGGGAATAGTGGGCTGGAGTAGATTCGGGCTCAGCCTGTGCTGGTGCACTGGGCGGCCGGGGGAAGAGCTTTGTGCGTCTGCGCAGGCTTGATGTTTCAGGCCTGTGGTTCCATCCGTTGGAACATCTTAGGGGCACTGGCAGAAGATTTTTCAAAATAAGGATGCTTGGTTAGAGTGATGGAAATTTTTGGAAGTAGGATAGAGGCAGGGAGAGTATCAGTCTTCTGACAAAGCTTCCTAGGTGACTGTGGTTACCCTCCCTGGATTAAGAGCCTCAGTGTTAGACTCTAATTCAGTAACATTCTTTCTCTCACCCTTGCTCAGGATTGCCTGGGCCCCCTGCTGCCCAGGACATCCCCCTTGTGCACACTGCACTTGGGCTGTGACTCACAACTGGTGGGGCCAGGACTTGAACTTGGTTCTCACTGATTCCCAAGCCTGAGTTTTCCCATCCTCCTCCCCAACCCATTCCCAACAACTAAGGGAGCTTTTCCTGAGTTACCCTGTGGCCTGGTAAGACCAGGCTGCCTGTGGGTAGATGTGCTGTAATCTGCTCAGGCAGCGGTCTGTCGCAGATCCTTTTCCTCAAGGACACGTCACAGAGGTGTGGTATCACTTGGATCGAGGAGAGTTGGGTCCAGGACAGTTTTGTGCTGCAGCCTGGCCAGGAGACAGTCTCTAGTGCCCTTTCCTCTCAGCGTGACCCTTGCAAGGGGCTAGAGCTTTTGCTTGCTAATCTCCTTCGTGGTCCATGCATATGAGATAAACAGAAATACTGAAGACGATGCTTAGAGCTACTTAGATAAGACACTAAAAGGAAGCTCTGCAAAACAGAGGATTGGATCAAACCAGCTGATGTTACTTAAGTCACCAAACACCAGAGGGTTCTAAGTTGGCACTTGCAAAGGAACCTCCCAGAGACAGTGCTGTCAGCCTGACGGAAAGGACTGGAGTGAGAACTTTCGTTGTGTATCTCAGAGGGTCTGGCAGTCGCCCCTTAAAGGATAGGTGCTCCCTTAAGGCCTACCAGAGGACCCCTAGGACCTTAGGCGCAGTCTGCCCCGCTGGCAGTTGTGCCTGGGCCAGCAGGCCTTATCGCGCCCATTATCTGTCCTCCTGCCTGTCAGCCCAGCCTCTTAGTCTGATGTCTTCTGAGGGGCCTGCCTCATTTTGTCGCTGCCCAAAAGGCTTCCATTGCTGCAAGCTTGGCTCTCTGCTGCCCTCACCTGTCTAGAACCAAGACTGGCAGCAGCTGCCTGTATATCCCCTCTAGTCTGCTTGACAGCGACCCCGTTCTTGAAAGAGGGCTGTTGGGATCATCTTCTGTCGGGCTTGCCAGGCCTGAAGTTTTTGATGAGGGAAGAAGGTAGCAGTGCCTCGGACATGCAGTGTCACCCACATCTCTTGATCTCTGACCCTTAGGAGGTCCGGTCTTGCTACCTCCCTGACACTTTCCTGTACGGCTTTCTTGATCTGTCTCTGAAGTCCTTTGCAATGACTTTGCCAAGCAAACACTTTTTACTATGTTGACTGTGTTGTCTTTCTTTGCCTTTGCCCATTTCATTCCTGTACATCTGACTCCCTTAAAGAGAGGGAGTCCGTGAGGACAGGGCCCAAGACCTGTAAAGCCCTCGTGCTCTCTCACGCCACAGACCCTGAAACAGCACTAAGGGAGCATTGCCTTCAGGCAGGAAGGAAGCTGTGAGCCGTGTGTCCTCTACCAGGCGAGGCCGCAAGATCATGTTGAGGAGGGAGTGTGTTGGGCAGAGCCTTTACAAACACGTATGCCTAAGGCCTGCTCCTAGAGACCCACTTAGGAAATATGAGGTGGATCGAAGACTCTGTATTTCTTAAGCTGTCAGATGTTGGCCCTGGCGAGGATCACTGTATTTTACACAGGCATGTGTGCACACCCTCACTTTCATTCATTCATTTATCAACTGTATGTACACCACTGTGTGCCCGGCAAGGGGCTAGCATAGAAAAAAGATGCACTCCTTCCTTCATGGAGCTTAACATGGATATGCGTGCAACAGATATGCTTGTGGACACATACATGGACACCGGCATGTCCATGCCACCGGGACACACAGGTCTGTGGCAGGAGTACTTAGTACAGGTCATTGTGGTGGTTTGCTCCAGAAGAGGCAGGTGCTCTTGTGTTCTCCTCTCTGTAGATCCTCAGTACTCTTGTTAAAGGGACACGCAGACCTGTGACCTGCAAGATTCGCATCCTACCATCGGTAAGGATGGGGTGTTACGTTTGAAGGTCCATTTTCTCTGGGGATGTCTATTTGGGGTATCAGTAAGTTTTGAGGTGTTGAATTAGGTTTGGAGGAGGGGGCAGAGCTGAGCCCACTTTAGGACAGCTGACAGCTGCTCCCTCTTTGGCCTCTGTAACCACCCTGTGCGGGTCTCTTCCTCAGCTGGAAGACACCCTGAGCCTTGTGAAGCGGATAGAGAGCACCGGCATTGCTGCCATCGCAGTTCACGGGAGGTGAGTGGTTGCTTTGCTAGGGACTGACTTGCAGTGAGGTCCTCTGCCATCCTAAGCATCCTTCAGCAGACCTCAGGGGACAACTAAGTTCTCTTCTACATATGCCCCCGCCTCTGCCTAGCTCTCTGACATCCTGGGGGCGGTTAAACTCTCATGAGCTTGCATTTTCCTTTGTTTCATTCACTGAGCATCTACTGATGGTAGGCACCGCGCTGAGCTTTAGAGACAGGGAGACCAAGGAGGAAGGAGAAATGCCCCTAACCTCAGCAAGGGTAAACGGTAGAGATGGAATGATTTGCTCAAAATTGCATCATGCAGGCAGGAAGTGGTGGAATTAGAACTACTCTGACTCTGAATCTCCTTTTCTTTCCACTACGTTGAGCAAGAGCTTCTGCCCTGAATGACCCCAGGCAGACTGCTGTTCTTCTGTGGGCACTGCCTCTTCGGTCTGCCCCTGTAGGATTGCCAGCTGACACTGCGACTGCTTTAAACAGTCCTTGTATCCATAGCTTGCTGCACTCTGCTGAGAGCTAAGGCGCTGCCGAAGGCTACCCTGGGTTTCCCAGTCAGACTCGCTCCCTGTGTCTAGGCTGTGCTTTTGTACAGAATCCCAGGTCAGTAGACTTCGGCCAGAGTGACCTCTCTTCTCTAAATGATGTTCCTTTTGGGTTCGGGGGTTCTTATAGGAACAGTGCATCTTTTGCCGGTTGTGTCTATTACAGCATTTTCAGAAAAGGGAACCCAGAAGTCCAACATGTAAAAGAGAAAAGCACAGCTGTACTGATGGGAGCTGGCAGGGTGAGGTGAAAGGCCATACCCATTACAAACCCTGAGGTCACAGGCCCTGGGCTCAGGCTGACTGGTTTCAGATCCCAGCTCTGCTGCTTGTTGGCTCTATCCTTGGACAAATCATTTAACCTCTCTGTGCACCTCATTCCTCATTTGGAAATTAAGGTAATTTCTGCTTTGTAAGGTTCCTTTCTACCAGTAGTTGAAACACTAAGAAGACAGATTGCAGTGAGTTTAAGGAGGGACTTCTGGCCATCGAAGTTTTTGAGGATGGCTAGAACTGGCTGCTGGGGCTGTGGGGAGGTAAAGGTGGAGGCTGGGTTGACTGGGCCTTCTGAGGCCCCTGCCCTTTTGTTGAGGGGCTTGGCAGAGGGCACATACCCAGACAATACCTGGATGAGGGCTATGTGGTCACCCACTTCTCTTGCTTGTTCCTGAGTGCAGCTCAGGTCAGGGCTCACCTCAGCACCCCTAAGACTCAGTCTCATTCACAAGAACTTACAGTTGACCTAGGAGGGATGGCTCCTGGGTCGTGCTGCCTCCCCAGTGGCTCCTTGTGACAGCCATGGTCTGTGGCCTGCCCTGGCTGCTGGGTCTACCCTGTGCCAGGTTCCTGTCCCCAGGATCAGCTGCCCATCTTGGCCTTAGAATAGGCAGCTGTGTGGGAGTGGCCAGTCTGAAGGGCAGCAGCTGTTTTTAGTCCCATGGTGAGGGCAAGACCAGGACAGTAGAGGTAGCATTCTTATGGCACTGTTCTTCATCTCTGGCAGAGGTGAGGGGAAGTCAGGGGGAGGTGGTGTGACCTTGGAAATCATCTACCCACCTCTGCCTTTTGCAGCCATGCCTTACCTATAGGCCTCCAAGAGCTGAACTTGCCTTCTCAGCATGGACCTACGCTGTTCTGACCCTCACAGCAGAGGTCATGGAGAGCCATCCACTGTAGCCTAGACCCCTGTCTCTGATGCTACGCGACCCTCCTGAGATTCAGTAGGGAGGACCGTAGGGCTTGGTTATAACATAACCCCCTGTGAACTGTGACATGGCCTTGGGCACTCAGCCCTCAGCCCCAACTTTTTTGTTTATCTCCAAGGAAGCGGGAGGAGCGACCTCAACACCCTGTCAACTGTGAAACCATCAAAGCCATTGCCGAAACCCTCTCCATTCCCGTCATAGCCAAGTAAGCCTCCCCTCCTCATCATTTACTTCCTTATGCCTCACCTCTCTCAGAAGGGATTTAAGCTGGCATATAAAAATGCGAGGAGATGGCATTAAAAATTGACCTTAAGGAAAAAGAAAAACAGTGGGATGAAAAACGAAGACACAAGTGCTTGCCATGTTCCTTGGCCTCTGGTGAGTGGCTGATGGAGGTGTGCTGGAGGCAGGGGCCCAGGGCATTCTGACGGGTGGGTTGAGGTTAGGAGCGTTCAGGGGACAGGGAGAGCAAGAGCGCGGCTGCTGAAGCAGGCCCAGTGGAAGGTGAGGTCGCACTGGAGTTAGGAGTGCAGGGTGTGGGGTGAGGAGGCCCAATCCAGAGCACATAGAGCGAAAGTCAGTTTACAGTTGTGAGTACATAAAACAGTTTGTTCTTATGTTATTTATTAATTATTATATAATTTTCCATGTGAATGACTGTAAGCCTGCTTTTGCCAACCTCTGTATGGCTCAGGAATCATAAGGCCAGCCACAGTCCAAAGCCCAGACCGCATAGCTACGGGGCCTGGAACCTAGACTGCCAGGTGTGAGGTACCAGTTACCAGCCAAGAAGCTTAGCAGCCAGACAGTGTCCAGTTGCTTCTGGGGAGCTACAGTGGGGAGTCCAGATCAGCAGACCTCAGGATGGCACAGAACCCAGTTGCAGGATGGGAACACGGAAGTTCCAAAGCCCTGAAGCCCTGACGAGAAACATGCCTGACTGGTGGGAGGGAGGGACAGAGCTGAGGGTGGGGTTGGCAGCCAGGCCCTGCCTTCCCCAGGCCAAGGAGTTTTAGGGAGAGGGTAGGGCTCCTCAAGACACTGGACCCTCTTACTGCTGCTCCCACCTGAGTGTGTGTGCGCCTGTCACCCACAATGCTGCTTTTGGACTGAGGCTGCTGCCTGGCTCCTAATGGAACAGATGAAGACAGAGCAGTGTGCAAGGGGGCCCTTGGGCTGCATGGCGGCGGGAAGGGAAATTGCAAGCAAACTGGGCCTCCTTCCTTCCTCTCACAGTCGCCACTGCATCTGCTCCCTCTCTAGGGTTGTGACCCAGCCCTTAGTGGGCATATGGTGGGGAGGGGGCGGGGTTTCCTATAATCCCTTTAGCCACTGTTTAGGATGAAGTGGAAGGAAGGTAAAATCTCAGGGATACCTATTAAGTGCCGGCTGTGGTTCTAGCTGCTTTCCTATATTATCTCCCTTGTTACTCTTAACCCCACAGTGGGGTGTGTGTGAGAATCTCCAAGCTCCAGAGGTGCTTCCAGCTGAAGGACTTAGCCATAGCCACACAGTTAATGGGAGGCAGACCTGGGAGTTGCCTTGTTCTGAAAATGCTGGGACAAGATTGGGGACACCCCTCATCCCTGTTGCCTTTCAGTGGAGGATCTCACGACCATATCAAAGATTATTTGGACATGGAGGACTTTCGACAAGCTACAGCAGCCTCTTCAGTGATGGTGGCCCGAGCTGCCATGTGGAACCCATCCATCTTCCTCAAGGAGGGCCTGAGGCCTCTGGAGGAGGTCATGCGGAAGTACATCCGATACGTATGTCTGTGCACTTCTTTGAAATAAGCATTTCTCCTGCAGAAGGTGCTTTGGGTGAGCCCCAGCCACCAGCTGCCAGCAGCCCTCGTTGTCCCTCTCCTTTTCTTTTCAATTCTGGTCACGTAGCATTGGGTCTCCCAGGGGCCTGGGGAGGCATGCTGGCCATCACCTCCATCTAAAGCTTCTAAGATGTGGGGTCATAGCAGGGGTGTCTGGAACCAGGATGCTTTTGGGGCCCAGAACACATGATCGATCTCTCTCTCTTTTTCCACTGCCACACATACACATGCATGCACAATGACAATGGACTCTGTGTCACTGAAGACACCCATGCCAATGTGTAGGTGCCAGAGCAGCCACAGCCACAGCCACAGCCAGGAAGAACCATTGTAGCTGTTGTTGTTGAGGACAGATTATCTCCACAGAGACTTCTCACCTTGTCATCAGTCAGAATCACTAAAGACTTTTGCTAATTCCCAGAATGCTTTAACCCCTAATTTAGGGCATAAGGGACTGCTACCCCTCTCCCTAGGGAATAGCTTTTTCTTCTCACTGGGAGCTTGATGGTAGTGCATTTTCCTGTAAAGGAATTTGTTTTTGACAAGGTAACCTGCCCTGTCCCTGTGGCACAACCCTGGAACTCTGTGGGACTTTGTGACCAGCTGTGCGTGTCTGCAGGTGGAGATAGTAAATGGTCCTCATGTCTTCAATGAGTTAGGCCTCCGCCCTCACTGAGAGTAGACTTTTACCCTCTTCAATCCTGGGGCTCACAACCGCCTGGAAGGGTCAGGGGCATCTCAGACCCTCAGACTGCCTCTGTCCTCTTCAAGCCGTGGTTGTGCCTGGGCAGTTGTGGCTGTGGAAGCCAGGTATGGTAGGAGGCCTTGAGGCCCATGTCCAGAGCTGGGCAGCCTTCATCCCCAAGCCTGTTTTGCTTGATGCTGCAGCTCTCCTCCTCTTGGTTCTGGGTGTCCTGTTGGTCATGTTGGTGACCACCAGCCTCTCCAGTGGCCTGGGTCAGTCAGAGGCAAAAGGGGCTTGCTTCAGCCCAGGTTGGCTGTCTAGCTCTTCTGGCCAGCTGGCAAGTCTGTGTCGGAGAAGATGTGTCCCGTTGTGCTAAGCCTGCTCATTGGGTGAAAGGTGCTGTTATCATTCCTGCATGGCCCAACCCTTGGCAGATCCCCCAGTGTTGTCCTGGAGAAAGGGACTGGCTTTCAAACACAGGCAGGGCTGTTTTGGGTCCAGCCAGCTGTTTTCTGCCCCAGATAGGCTGAATCAAGGTCTTACTGCTGGCCGGGCTTACCTGCACATCCCTGCTTTGTCCTGAGCATGCTGTGGCACCTTCCCAGCCACTAAAGATGTAGGCCTAGTGTAGACATTATAAAAGTGTAGGGGGCAGGGGTTAGAAGGGGTTCTGGAGGGTTAGGGTATCCTTTGCGCATACTCTCTGGCCTGCCCTAGCCAGGTGGGCTTCTCTCGGGTACCCTGGACAGTCAGTTATCTCCCTGAGCCTGTACTTACCGGTTTGTAAAGTAATGGTAACAGCTGCACATCATGCTTGTATCGCTCAGTGAAGTAACAACATGTGTGAACATGCTTAGTAGATGGAGCTCTACTTTACCCACATAGGGGAAATTGGAGACAGGTCAGTTCAGATGTGGGAAGGGAAAGTACCTGTGTGGTTATAAGGAATAGAAGAATCTCACCCTGTCCTGAGGCTGGTCCCGCCACACCAGAATTTGTCTTGTTCTCCTCCTTGCCCTAGAAGATGCTTGGCAGCAAGCCCTCTCTGGTTAGCTATGGTGGCGGAAGCAAGAAGGGCTCCCTGCACATCCGGACTTCAGACAGGATGTCCAGTAGGGTGTGCTCCTGATTGTGGGCTTTGGATGTGACCCTCGAGCTTTGTACCACTAACTGGAGGATTAGATGGCCCGGATGCAGGTGGCTCTTCTTATGGGGTCCCACTGTCTTGGCTGCAAGCACACCTCTGGTGCCCCCTGGGCTTCCCTTCCCCTGCATCAGAGCAAAGCTCAGGCCTTGGAACCTGCCTGGGCAGCAGGTGGGCTCAGGTCGGTTCTTCTTCCAGGCTGTGCAGTACGACAACCACTACACCAACACCAAGTACTGCTTGTGTCAGATGCTACGAGAACAGCTGGAGTCGCCCCAGGGAAAGCTGCTCCACGCTGCCCAGTCTTCCCAGGAAATTTGGTGAGAGGGGCCATGGGCTATCCACCTCTCCTGGCTGACATTGCCCTGTTTTGACTCTGAGCACTAAGCTGACCGTACCAGGGTACTGAGGACACAGCTTCAGGAGATGGATGTGCAGTAATAGGGTCATGATACAGCTTTGCCTGACAGAAGGGGATACTTTCAAAGCTTTGGAACTATCTGTCTCTGGACTGATCTCAGCAGCAGAGCCTCGGGCACTGAGGCACTAGTAGGATGGAGGAATGCCAGGCCCAGGCTTGGGAATTCCTGGGGAGAAAGGGGCTTTCCCAGTCGCAGATCATGCCACCAAGACCCAACTGTCAGGAGAGTTGGGGTTGCAGGATGGGGCCCTGGGCCTGCGCCTGTGCCTACACCCATTGCTCTGCAGTCAGAGGCCACCCCTCACTCCTCTGCTCAGCTGGTTGACATTTGGGCCCCTCACAGCTGGCCTAGTACCTGCTCCCACAGCTCCCTATTTGCTCTTTTTCCCACTTGCACACCTGTACTCGTGCTGAATCTTCTGCCCAAATGGTCTCTCCCCGTCATGTGGGCTGTGTATATCTCCCCTCCTGCAAAGAGTCCTTTCTGAATCACTCTCACCCACAGTCATCCATCTTTGTGAGTGTCCTCCAGCCCTCCAGATGCTTCCTACAACAGAAGGGTCTTGCCCAAACCCTCCTCGTCCTGGGCTTGTGGTGTTGGTTCTGTCCCTATGCCACCTAGCTTAACCAGCTTGACCCGAGTGTCTTGTGAGCTCAAGAGTATAATTTTTAAGAGTATAACTCTGTAGCTCTGGGTGGTACCTCAGTTTAGGTGAGGCCTAACTGCTTGTGGCCGGGACAGGAAGTGGGGAACCACGCAGTGGTCAGGCCGGCGTCTCTTCCTCCCACGTGCCCACATGAGGATGAGCTGTGTGTGCCTCCCGTACTTGATCAGCGTAGGCCAGCTTACTCACTGCTGGCTGGGGACTGCTGCCTGCGTGCTCTTCCTTGGAAGAAAGGCTGGGCTTAGATGGTGGAAGTGACCTTTAGGACCTCTTCCACCCTGCCCTGCCTGCCCTCCAGTGTTTGCCCTCCGGGGCCCACATTCACTGTCCATCTGCCAGTCCAGACTGATCCCAAGGGTGAGTCGAAGGTACCTTCTGATGGCCAGATCCTAGTGGTGTTTTGGTGTATGTACGGATGGTCAATTCTCAGTGGTGCTGCCCTGGGCTCCTGCAGTAGTTCCCTCATTGCTGGTTCCACTAAGGGGCTTGTCCCACTCGGCTTGTCTTTCCATAGTGAGGCTTTTGGCCTTGGTACGTTCTATGAAGAGACCACACGAGAACTGGACTCCCGGCGGGCTGAGTTCTTGGCCAGGACCCCAGAGGAGGTGAGGGAGCCAGCAGAAGACCCCTCTGGTGTCATTAAGATGGCTGTCAAGTTTGACCGGTAGGTCTCCAGGTTCCTCAGCTTGGGCCAGGGCCAGTGCCCTTGGGCTGACTGCACTGGCAAGCTGTCTGCTGTACTTGGTTAGGGACAAGCTTGGGGACCACAGGTCTCTTTGGTTTGGACACTTGTTCTCAATTTTCAGTAACCCAGAAAAGGCACTTTGGAGAAGATAGTTTCTGAAAGCCCAGACAACACTGTTAGGGTTGCACATGTTGTCCCAGGGGACTGAACTCCACCTTTTCCCTGCCCCACCCCCTCCCACAGCTTGGGCGAGAGGACTTGTCTCCTTCTGTTCCTGAAAGTCTGTGCTTTTTCCTCAGCCCTGAGGAACTAGATGCCTGCAAGGAGCTCCCCAGTAGCAGCAGGACCCTGGCCCTTATCTGGCTGTGCAATTCCTGCCCACACCCACTGCCCCTCACCGGCTCTGTGGTGTCCCCTCTTGGCAGGGATACCTCAGGCCAATTATTGCCTTAGACTGTGACTCAGCTTGACTGGGCCCCTCATCCTTGTCCTTTGTAATCTGGGATCTAAGCCTTTCTCAGGTCCCCTAGCCCAGACTAGAAGCCCGTCTTGTCTGGCAGGGGCTTGGGAGAAGGGGTGCAGGATCAGCTGTTGGGCAGTCACACTCAAGGAGAACTCCTGGTAGGAAGTTGGGACATGGTGCAGACTGACTCTGAAACCAGAGTCCACTCTGTGTAAACAGCAGGGGATCATGTTGACACTCAGCAGACATCATTAGGGTGGGTACAAAGCTAGATATCTGAGCCCTCTGTATGGCCACCTGCGTTCGCCACCCCTACCCACTCTCTCTGGATCTTGTCTTGAGGGGCAAACTGGACCTTCCTCCTTGGCTGTCAAAGGCTGTTTTCCAGGCTGGAGCTCAGAGTGTTGGGAGTTCACTTCCCACCCCAGTTCCCCAAGCATACTGAAGCCCATTGTCCCTTTGGTTAGAGGCAGTCCCAAGCTGTGGTGGAACAGAAATGGGACATCAGGAAATAGGTACAGGAGTCTTAAGGCAGCAGCTTGATGTTGCAGTTCCTGCAGCTCCTACCAGGAACTGAGTAGGGCCCCTGCTGAGAAATGGAGTGGTGATGGGTGGGCCCTGACTCCTTCCCCTCCTTTCTCCAGGAGAGCATACTCTCCCCAGATCACCCCCAAGACGTGCTTGTTGGAATGGTGCCGGAGGGAGAGGTTGGCACAACCTGTGTATGAAACGGTGAGTTCCTGGCCGTGGCCTGCCCTGCATCCAGTCCTGTAGCATTCCCACAGCTGGTGCCAATGCCCCTTGCATACAGCTTGTACCCTGGACTCCAGACTGCTTGGCTGGAGCCTGGCTTTGCCTGCTATAGGCACGTAGTGGTTACTGGTGGTTGAACCAATTGCTGATAGAGCCTTCCCTTTGACAGGGGCCTATTGTTAATTCTGGCCACTTTTCATAAAACCGAACTAGAGACCTAAGTAAGGGGCTGCTTGGGCTAGTCCCTGCCAGTGGTGTTGCTTAAGGATGGGAGACGTCTCTGGTGCGGGCCAAATGACTTAGGAAGGCCGCTCAAACATAGGAGTTAGACATGTTTTTGGACCAGGCCGAAGCTAATGAGGCGTAGAATTGGGCCCACACATGGGGCCCCTCCGTCAAAACTGAGACAGTATTGGTTTACTAAATAAGCCATGTCTTGTTTCGGTGGGTCTGTCTCTGGACTTCTGACTTCCAAACTTGTATCTTCTGTGCCTTGTGGCCTCTTCTGCCAAAGTGACATTTCTAAAGTGGATCCGAACTCTTATTTCCCTTGCTCGAGTCCTCCTTGGCTCAGAGCATGAGACACCTGCCCCTGCCCCTGCCCCTGATGCCTTTCCGCTTCAGGTCTCTTCCGCCCACCTTTCTGTCCGGCCGTATCACCTGGTCTCTCTGCCACATGGGTCTTTGCCCCAGTTCTTGTCCCTTCCCACCCCTTTGCCATCTGGTGAACTCCTTATTTTGGGGACACGGCCCATTCAGATGTCAGTAGGAGGTGACTCCATAGACACCGCCAAGGGCTTGGATGGCCCTATGCTCAGGTCCATGACAGAACTCCTGACTCGCTGCAGCGTCACTGTCTGTCTGTGTATCCACCTTTCTCCCCTGGAAGATGCACCAGACACCTCTTTCTGCTGGGGAGGAACATGTGGAACAGGTAGCTTTCACTGGCTTGGATGGGAAGGACTTCCTTTTCTCTGCCTTCGACATGACCCCAGCAGGTGGGCCTCCAGGCTCGTTCTTCCCCTCCTGCAGCCATCCCTGTTTCTTTTGCTCTCTCTGTACCAGATTCAACGCCCCCTGGATCGGCTCTTCTGTTCTGTTGTCACTGTTGCTGAGCAAAAGTACCAGTCCACCTTGTGGTGAGTTTCCTCATCCGTGGGTGTGAGGCTCGGGTGGAGGGCCTGATCCAAGCATTAGCCAGGGAGGGTTGGGGGCATGGTGTCCCTGGGTGGTGGCATCCCTGGGTGATGACCCCCTTCCTCAGTGTTGTCAGAATCTTTGACAAGAGTGTTGAGAGTCAGGCCTCCTAGCCTCTGTGCCTGCCACCACTGTGCCTGCCTACCTGCCTTATTGCCCCATGCCTCATCTGCCCAGGGACAAGTCTAAGAAACTGGCGGAGCAGGCTGCAGCCATCGTCTGTCTACGGAGCCAGGGCCTCCCTGAGGGTCGGCTGGGTGAGGAGAGCTCCTCCTTTCACAAGCGTAAGCGAGAGGCACCTGACCAAGACCCTGGGGACCCCAGAGCTCAGGAGCCAGCAGTGCCTGGGGATCTGTGCAAGAAGCCCTTCGTAACTTTGGGAAGTAGTAAAGAGAGCCCTCTGGAAGGCTGGTGACCACCGTCTGTACCCTGGTCATCACCGCCTCGCCGCAGGCCTGGCCCTAAGATGACTGTGGGTACAGAGCATAAACTAGATACTGTTGGACAGTTTGCTGCCCCTGCCTGACAGGTGTCGAGAACTTCTGGCCTGGCCCATCAGCCTGGAACATGGGCCAAGGGGTGCCCAGAATGCCCATCTCTCTTGGTCAGTTTTAGTAGCAGGGCCAAGTTCCCGGTGACCTCCGTATTTTCTTTGAAAACGGGCTTTTTCAGTAGTACCTCCCTCATCTGACATTGGTATAGTGCAATAAACTCTCACCCACAGCTGGCTGCTTCAGCCTCGGGCATCTTCACATACGGACTGGTGGATGACCTGGCATAATTATTCTACTCTTACCCTCCTTGAAGAGCTGGAGCTTCCTAAAAAGTCTATCTCCTACCTATCCTTACAAGTCTGGGTGGAGGTGGGGGGCACGATATCACCTTTAGTGCATGATGGGCTTGAGCCGAGCCAGGAAGGCCCAAGAAGCCCATTCTCCTGATGACAAACCTGAGACAATGGCCAGCAGTTGGCTTTCCTGATGAGAGACGATATGGAATCTGGGGGAACAATTGGGGTATCTGGACCTACTCAGGCAAGCTGGGAGTGCTGAGTGAGCCCAGCTGCCTGGAGCTAACACCTACAAAGTGTCTGCTCTGGGCAGAAGACTTTGGAGACTGCTGATGACAACAATTTGGGGCCCTTGCGATTGCCTGCCCACGCCACCTCCCACCCCCACCATCCGGTTTGAGCCGGAAGTGGCAGATTCTCTTTAATTTCCTCCTGGCAGTGAGAAGCAAACAAACGGGCTACCACAACTCAGCTTGTGGGGCCACCCCCGCTTATTGGGAGGGGCATTCTGACCAAAGGTCCCTGCGCTTCCTTAGCTGTAAACATGCTGCTTCTCCTCCCCTTTTCCAAGCTCTGTGGGCAGAGGGGAGTCCCCTCTGGGCCAAGGCCATGCTCCTTGCATCACCCCAAGGTCAGGCCCCTGCGCCAGCCAGTAGCCCCTGGCCCTTCGGGCTTGACTCAAGGGTTGGGTTAGTGAGGCCTCTGTCTCAGTCCTGGACCGCTACATTGCTCTTCTGTGTGGAGATAAGGATGCCGTACCAACAGTGGCCTTCCAGAGTCCATGGCTATTTGGACTTTGGCAGGTCACTTCTAGTCCCCTCTGGGGCCAAGGGCCCTCCTCTGAGAATAGGGTCAGCTGTTCTCTGCCTGCTGGAGGCCGGCTGGAGGATAAACAGGCTAGTCCTGTGATAGGACACTGCCATGCTGAGCCTGCCCTCACTGTCCAGACGAGTGCTCTTAGAAAAGGGACCCCACCCAGGAGAGCGAATGAGGCTTTGTCTGGTCTCAGCCATCAAGCTTTAGGCACAATTTACTTCTGATTTTTCCAACAGGAAATTGTTTTAGTCAAAATGCCCCTTTGTCATTTCTTATACCCCAATGGGAACAGGGCAGATAGCGAGGCCCCCGTAGAAGCTCCCCAGGCATCCTGAGCCAGTCAGAGCTTATAGGAAAACCCTTATGGGGTAGGTACCCAGTCTTGAGATCTACTTCCCCAGGGGGGTTGGGCTTTGTCCTCCAGTTTCTGCCTACTGTTGTGCTTTCCCAGGGAAACCTCTTCTCTGGCAGTGTCAGATTCCTTTCTAGACTATGGAGAAGGAGATGCAGGGGTAAAGGTCAGTTACTAAGAGGATGGACTGTGGGGACTTTGAGGGCCCAGGAGAAGTATTGAGGAGAAGGTCATTCACAGGGGAGCTGAGGAGAAGGTCATTCACAGGGGAGCAGGTAGGTAGGGGCTAGTGTGTGTTCCATGAGTAAGGATGTCTGACAAAGATCCTAGTTGAATATGCTGGGTCACAAATGGTTTCACTTTAGCATACCTCAGAGATGCTCGCCTTGGTCTCAGAGTGACTTACCTAAGACCTGGCACTAACTGGAGGGCTCAGTCAGGTCTGAAAGCTCCATCCACTGTTCTCACCTTGCCCGCCTTAAACTAAGGCTCCTTAGACACCCAAACCCGTCTCTGGGCTAGTGGCCACAACACTTATCTATCCATTCCAACTGTCTTGATTGAAGACTTCCTCTTAACTCATCACATTTTGAGGACAAATGGTTTTAATATGAATGGGAGAGGGAGGGATGAGTAAGGCTAGAGAGGGTGGCAGGTCTTCTAAAGACCACAACAAGAAGACGGGACTTTGTCCGATGAATGGGGAACTTCTTACCCTTGTAGTCCTGTACTCTTAGTTCCTTCTAGGTGTCCCAATTGTTCAGAACTCTTCCATGGCTCTCCGCTGCCCTCTGGATCGAGTCCAAACTCCTTAGCCTAGCATTAGAGGACAAATGAAGTAGCCTGTGCTGACTTCAGCAACTGATTGTCTTGGATTGTAGACTGGAGCTGCTCAAGGGCAGTCCTTGTGTCCCCTATGGCCAGCCTTATCATGGGGGTGGGGAGCAGGCACAGAAGTATCAAACAGGAGCTTGAGGGGAAGGGATGTGTGGCATGGAGAGGAAGTCTTCTAAACTCGGACTTTCCTCCAAGGCTCCTGTTTCTTCTAATGTGGAACAAGCCTGGTTGGACTGGGCTAAAGCATATCATCCCATGGCTCTGAGGCCATAAGGAGAGCCTTCAACAGTGTGGGGCTCAGAGCTAAGTTTGGGGCAGCTGATGAAATAGATGGCTTTCTCCAGACCTCAGGCCTGGCTGGCATTCACACAGGAGAGGGGGCATACAGGGACCTGCACAGCTGGCCCAGTCTAGGGTTCTATGCATTGCACTGGTCCCCTGGGCTTCCAGGTTTCCCAGGACTCTCAGAAGGCTGGAGGTCAGTCAAATGGCCTCCAGCCATCTAAAAGAGCTTTGGAGCTGGCCTGAGGTAGAGCTCATGGGGGAAGTCCTGCCCTAATTGAGGAAAAGGGGTGGAGTCAGTTTTTGTATTGGTCTATGTACGGGCAGGTGGGGTCCTGTCACAACCTGCAGAGTTTCCAGTCATTGCTGCCTTTCTTATAAAAGTGGTGACATTCTTCCTAAAGTTGGTGCCCACCCCTAGCCCACCCTCATCACTCCATGGTAGAATTCTCAGTTTCCTCCAGACTAGAAACCTTCCCCAAGACATGAGCCCTTATAAGTTTCTACAGTGGCTATAGTTTTTACAGCTACATCACCCAGCATTTGATGAATGGGTTAATTTTTCAAGCCATCTACAGCTTCTGTGGTCCCTTCCTAGCCGTGGGACTGACAGGCCCTGTCTCCCTCTTGTCTTTTCCCTGGCCTGGCTGGTTGAGTCCCTGGTTCAGGTAAAGTCCTGTCCAGAGGACAGAGAGGCTAAATAAAGGTCCATTTTCTCCGAGAGATGATAACCTCAGAGAGATGTGTATGGGAACAGGGGCACACATCCTGAAATTGCATTGTTTTACGGGGAAGGGAAGGTAAGTTGGACAACCTTCCGGAGTCTTTTACTATACTGGGGTCATGGTACATGTGGTACTAATTGGCAGGCCAGCCATCTGCTGGGGCAGAAGCCTGCAAAGATAGCGCGGCTTTTGGCCTCTAAGTTCTACACTCAGTCCCTCAAGGTTGGAGATCCTTTGAAAGCAGCACAGCTTATTGGGAGGATGTCACACCCACTTAATGCCATTTGTTACCCTCTCCTACCTCTAACCCCCCACCGCTCCCAGTTCAATCAGGTGTGATTCAGATTTCTGAATATGGAGGTACCCTGCTCTAAACCCTTCTGTGTCTCCCTACCGCCCTCAGGATAAAGTCTGTATACGTTGCAGTGTGGCTTGCAGTTCATTCACCTGACCTAACCTTTGATTTCCTACTGCAGTTACTTTTGGTCTCCAAGTCCTTGAAAAATCTGTTGTCTAGAACCATCTCCCTTAACTCTTGTCCATCTCTCCAATTTGTAATTAGCCCTGTGGAGGATTTGTAGCCACCGGGATTACGAACCTCTGAGCACATGGCACAGCCCTAATCTCTGCACAGTGATTATAGATTTGCTGGCCTCTCCCCAACCTCTAAAGGGAGACTAATTTAGCTCTGCGTTCCAACTGGGTTCCCGCGTTGCAACGCGCTTGTAAGGGATGTTACGTCCCGTGGGACCCGGAGCTACGGGAGTTGGTCACCACCTCTCCCAGCTTCCCGTCCAACCTGCGCCTCAGAGCACCTGTAAGTAAGTAAGTAAACAAGCCTGGCTCGTTTTCCCCTGGCACGTCCTCTATCACTATCCCCAGAAGGAGGCTGTCTTGGGTAGTCTCAGAAGACAGGCTTGCTGAGGGGGTTCACGAGTGAAAACGGTTCCTTAGTGCCAATTCCCTACTAACTCTGTTTGGGTAACATGATCCCTCCCGCTTTCTTTTGTACTTGGACGCATAAGTCACGACGGGCTTTTCAACTTCCAGCAGGGATAGGCCGTGCCCCTCAGGCTTTGCCGAGGCCTCGAATGAGCGGTCCTCCAGGGAGCAGCTGCCAGGCCGGCGCCTAGGGGCAGACAAAGGTTCAGCCAGCTAAGTGACGCACCCGCCCGGTAGGGTGGGTCTATGAGACTCGTAGTGCGGCCTAGGTCTCTGGCTCCGCCCCACCCTAGGTCTGGTCCCCGCCTTCTCGAGACCCTACCATTAGGCTTGGGGTCGGGTGTGAGGGTTTGAGTGGAGCACACGTAACCGTCCGAGGCCCTGACACCTTAACCAAGCCATGTAATACGCATAAGCACAGACCCATGAGCTCAGGGCTCTGGCGCACCTTCCCCGACGTGTACTACGGCCCAATAAGGGAAGGGATTTTTTCCGATTGGCCAGTGATGGGCTCCACAACCCATTTAGAGATACCGACTTTACACCCGGGTGCGCGGGCCCGGTTTAGAAGTTGAGAAAGGAATAGAGGCCAAACTACGACTCCCAAGAGGTAGCGGGCTCCCCAGCGCTCCGTATTCACGTGACTTCCTCCGGAGACGGGGTCACGCGGTGGGCCGGTGAGCGGGCGGGGCCGTCGGATTCACCCGCGGCGCCAGTGGCCTATCGCTGGCCGGGTGAGGCGGGCACGCGGTAGGGGGCGGGGTCGGGTGCGCGGCACGGCGCGGGAGCGCGCCGGTGGCGGCGGTGGCTGCGGCGGAGTGGGGAATGTCGGCTGCGGCGACGGTGGCGGCTTAGGCCCAAGAGACTGGCGGCGGTGGCCCCTCCTGGTGCCGTTCGGCGCGTGGCCAGCTCTAGAGTTCGGAACAGAACGCTCAGCGTCGTGGTCCCGCCCCGGAAAGTTTGTTCCGGAGCCGCTACCTTTCGGCCGGCTCGGCCCGGCATGAAGCGGCGCTGAGGAGCTGTCGCTGCTGTAGTCGCCGCCTGAGGAGAAACCGGAGTACCTTGGGCCACGCCGATGACTACTGCAAACTGTGGCGCCCCCGACGAGCTCGACTTCAAACTCGTCTTTGGCGAGGACGGGGCGCCGGCACCGCCGCCCCCCGGCTCGCGGCCTGCAGGTGGGTGCCGGGCCGGGCGGGACCGGGCAGCGTCTTCTCTTGCTCGTCCTCTCCCTGGTCCTTTTGGCCGTCCGGTGTCTGGTGACACCGTGTGTGCGCGCGTGTGGTGAGTGAAGAGCGGATTTACATCGCCGAGGAGGCGAGTGGGTCGCTGCGGTGTGGAAGTGGCCGCGGGCTTAGCCGGTAGCGAAGTAGTGGGAAACTCGACTCCGGGACGCCTGGGGCCAGTGGACTCTCGGGGTTTGGGCCGAGGGTCGGGGCCACTGCCCAGGCGGCGTCTGATTGTCGCTGCTTTGCCTACGCGGAGAAAATGTCCCTGTGAAGTACAAGCGCAGTTTGGTTTTCATCTATTTAATTTTTTTAAATTTTTATTTGAAAGGTGCACATTCTTGAAGTGTAGGAGCTCTCTAAAATTTGTGCACACATCTGTTAAGTCTGCTTTGCTGGGAGGGAGGAATGCTGTCGTTTTAAGTTCCACTTGTGTAAGTTTATGGCCCACTTTTAATTCGAAGTGTAACATAACGGGACTTTCTGAAAACTAGGTTTCTTTTCTTGAGCAGATGTTCTGTTTCAGGAGATTATAAGAAAGTGGGGTGCCCTGTTCATAATTCTAGAAGTTTCTGGAAATCAATTTTTATTTTAAGAAAAAGCTCACCTCGCAAGGTGTTTTAAAGGAGATCGTGAATTGGGAAGGCTGGGCACCATATAATACATGGAGGTCAGACCAATCAGGAAATAGAAACAGGATGGCTGGGGACTTAGAGGTCTCCTGTGACCTGGTTTGAAATACTGTGGTTCAGTAAGTTCACTTTTTCTATTACCCATGTAGGCGAATTTCAAAAGGGAGATGGATAAGTATTCCTAATTATTCTTTATTCCTAATTATTCTTTCCGCGTATTAGGTGAATTATTTCATGTTCATATTGATGTTCAACAGACTGTTCTGTAGAGTTGCATTGAAAAACATAACTGAGTGTGAGGCATAAGGATTCTTTGGGCCCTGTTTGTCTTGTCAGTCGTTTTAGTCTTTTCGCGTTACATGTTTTTTTCAACATAATAAATAATATGCAGTAATTTGTTGGCTGTGTTTGTTTCAATTCCACTGACATCATTGGAGCACCTGTTATGTTGAAGGTACTGTTAGGAACTTTGTAGTGTTACAATATATGCAAAAAGGACTGAGGCCCCTCAAGGAGATTGGGAAATGGGGTTGGGGGGCACATGACCCAAATAACTATGCTGCTCGGCAGATGGAATAGAGAGGTACAAGGGGTTGCATTTGTGAAGAGTGTGGCATTGAATTGTACTTAGCTTATGAGGATTTAATTAAATAAAAACAACTAGTTTGAATGAATTTTTTTATTATAAACATAAACAGTTGATGTCAGCAAATTCACTGGGCACGAACTTGATTAGAGCACATTCTATACCAAATATATATGATCAGTAAAGACGTTAACCAAACATATGAGTAATAAAGGAGTATCATCATGTAAATAGGAACTGAATGTACATCCACATATTGAATAATATTTAAAACCCATGAAAACAGCTTTTTAAGAAATGATTGATTTTTTTTTGTCAAAACCCAGAAAACCATTTTGTTATTAATATGACTCTAGAAGGAGTTAAGGTTTGAAACTTGATTTATACATGAAACCCTCAAAGTTAAACTTGAGCAGTTTTATTTGTGACAAAAAATGCACTTAAAAATATGCTGGTAGCTACTTTTTTAAAGTGTTTAAAATTAAGGTGAAATACACTATATATAAACCATTTTAAAGTGAATGACTCATTGCCATTTCATGCATTCCCAATGTTGTGTAATCACAACTTATATCTAGTTCCAGAATATTTTCATCACTCTAAAAGGAAACCCTAAACCCAATAATAAGCAGTTGCTCCTCATTCTCCCTGGCCCCCTCTCAGTCCTTGGAAGCCCAGTCCTTAATCTGGGATCTGTCTCTGGACTTACCTGTTCTGGATATTTCATGTAAATGGAATCATATGTATGTGACCTTTTGTGGCTGGCTTTTTTCACTTAGCATAGTGTTTTTGTAGTTCAACCATGTTGTAGAACATATCAGTACTTGATTCCTTTTGTGACTGAACAGTCTATTGTATATATTCCCCAATTTGTCGACCCATTCATCCATTGATGGTGAGTAGTGCTGCCGTGAACACCTGGCAGCTAATTTTAAAATTCTCTTGAGAAGGATATGTTATATATTCAGAGCTAAGGTTTCAAAATTATTGGTTTACAAAATTAGTTTTCATTTAAATAAGTATAATTATGTGTATAGTTTGAAGAAAGTAAGTGGGTTGACTGACATGCTTTTAAGATAATATGCAGTAAAGAGGGCCATGAGAATAAATTGCTTGGTAGAATTCAGGTCAGTATTAGGTTGTGTCAGCATTTTTACTTGGTTTTTGGATTCTCTTCCTCAATAGAATGGAAGTTTCATGAGGGCAGAAGTAGTGCCTATGCTTTTTCATGGTTGTTCGTTATCAGTGCTTAGCATAGTATCTTAAACCCAGTAGGCACCCAGTATTTGTTGACTTAATGAGTAAGTACTGCTGAAGTTTTGAGTCTGTGCTCACATTTTGTGGTAGAGGAAGTTGAGACTTGCTTCAGTTCTTTGGCTTTTATTGGTCAGATCCATAAGATAGATCTTGGTCATTTTGGACTGCAGGTTTTCCATCTCTAAAGATTTCAGACTACTTGAATCACATTTAATTTCATGCAGATTTTTGAAAAAATATTTGGAGAGGCAGGTAGAGGATGAAGACTTGAGGGCTAACCAAAAGCTCTTTTAGTAAATATCCTAAGCAAGCTTGTTAAAGTACAGATTCAGTGATCTGATGATTTGATACTTGATAATGTCAGATACATTTTTGACTAACTTTTTAAGAATTTTGCTTATAGAGGTGTTTTGACATTTTTCCATTAAAGAAAATTTAAGACCCTAGAGTCTTTAGCTTTTATTTGTTTTATATTTTGAGGACTGTGCTAGTTTTGATTTTTACAGTTAAAATGAATCAAACTAATTTTTAAAAAGATTTACTTATTTATTTATCTTTAGAGGGGAAGGGAAGGACAGAGGGAGAGAAATATCAATGTATGGTTGCCTCTTGTGTTTCCCCTGCTGGGAACTGGCCTGCAGCCTAGGCATGTGCCCTGACTGGGAATTGAACCGTGGTTGCTTGATTCCCAGGCCCACGCTCAGTCCAGTGAGCTACACCAGCCAGGGCCTGAATCAACTATTTTGTTTCAACTTTCTTTTACTTAATGCCTAACTTCAAAATAAATATATACCTCAATAAAAGAGAATTTAAACTTGACAAGTGTTTAATGTACATAGTTTGTTAACATTACTTGCCATTATAAAGGGCAGCTTTTGGTGCTCTAGTTTAGTGTACTGATTGTATATCTCTAATTTAGTTTGATGTTATAATCTTTACTTTTCATATTCAAAATTTCATTCTCAGGGTTTGTTCATTACTAAATATTGACTTTCTACCTGAATAAGGGTCATTGGAAGGAGTTTGTGTTATGCTGTGTGTAGTGTCTTATCTACTGCCACTTTTTAAAAGGGGAGAAATATGTTTTGTCAGATACCACTTTAATCATATCCAACTTTATTTGTTTATTTATTTATTTATTTTTGGAAAGATGGGAAGGGAAGAAGAAAGAGTGGGAGAGAAACATCAATGTGTGGTTGCCTCTCATGTGTACCCTACTGGGGACCTGACCTGCAACCCAGGCATGTGCCCTGACTGGGAATTTGCTTCACAGGCCCGTGTTTAATCCACTGAGCTATACCAGCCAGGGCCCATATCCAACTTTTTTATATGTAAAGTTGAAGAGTTTTTCCTAGCTCATAGTCTAGTCTTTAACCCGTAGTGTTTTTACTTTGTTTAGTGCTCGGAGAGCTGATTCATATGTTCTATGTAATTTACTATATCTTAGAAGTTTTCTCATTTTTCAGTTTTTATTGATAATTTTTACTGAATATTTTTATTTTATCTTTTGTTAGATAATGTACAGGGTGTTGCAAAAGAAATTTACAGTTAGGAGAACCGGATCACAGTTTATTCTTGTATTATAATTTATTAGCTATTATATTATTTTCCATGTGAACAACAGTAAATCTACTCTTGCCACACTCTGTATTGAAAGCTCTTGGCACAGTCCTTGGTCCATTGGTGCTCATTAGAAGTGGTAGTTAACAAAACTTCAAACTGTTCTTTAAAAACACACACAAAACTGGTGGTAGCTTATTTTTAACCTCGTCCTCTTTCCTAGTCCCTTTTCCCTATACTAAACTAAAACACTGGAGATCCAGTCATTTACATCTTACTTAAATGAGTTGGAAAATGCCTTAGACATTTTAATTTTATTCTCTCAATTCTATTATTTTCAGTTTTACATCCT